AGCAAAGCTTCTCCCCATTTTTGTCTCAGGATGGAATATGTAAGTGTCCAAACTATTTGGTTGACTGGTTGAGTGAGCATAGGATTGACTGGTTGATTGAATGAATGAGTGCATGGTTGAGTGAGTGAATGAGGGGTTGAGTGAGTGCATGTGAGTGTCATAAATGCTGATTAATACAAAGTTGGAAACAAGTTTCTCTCCCTGTCTCTCAGGGTGGAATATTTAAGTCTCCAAACTGCGCTGGTATGTCCGACCTCTCACAGGTGTCAGATCGCGCTGACATATGGAGTCGTCACTGCCGATGTTGCTCTCAGGGTCGTCAGAAGCAGCATGGTGAGAGAGGATATCTTCTTTATTAGAATGCACATACCTAGAAATCTGTGTCTGTGTGTTTCCATGTGCATGTGCGCTGTTCGTGGACTCGGGCATGAGTCTATGGTGAGGTGAGGTGAAATTGGGTTTAACGTCGCGTCCAAGATTATTGCACTTATATAGCGACGTGTATGTGTGTGTGTGGCTGCTTGTACTAATCCGGACTGATGCCGATTTATAGTGCTAGCACACTGAGATACCATGTCGCAGTTTAACATGAATACCCCACTCAGACACAGTATACTGACTCCGAGCCGACCAGTCCTTGTTTTAGCCCCTTAATGCCGAGAGCCAGACAGGGTAACAATAAGTACAATCTTTTAACGTCTTTTTGTATGACGCGGCCCGGGATCGAACCCTGGGCCTTCCGCTCTCCGGGCGGACGCTCTACCACAAGACCACGGAGGCGGTCCCATGAGTCTATGGAGAGTGGGTGGTTGACTGGATGGTTGAGTTAGTGAGTTGTTGATTGGTTGGTGAGTGAGTGTTTGGTAATGTAAGTGTTTGGCTGGTGGGTTGAGTCAACAAAAACAGCCACTTCAAGTTCAAGTATTATGAAAAAAAGTAATAATAGTAATAGAATTTTCCTACATCATCATGTCGCCAGTATGATGTTCAATACAATGGCCAAGGAACAAAAGCATTAAAACGTAAAGTTAGCGCTGTTGCACTTCATTAAAAGTGAGTATTTTGAGGTCTGTATTTGTCACAACCCAAGCAAATCTTACAAGCGTTCACCTGCAGTCACTCATGCTACAACATGTAACTGCAGTAGATTGTTGCATAATGTATGCCAGCAGTCAGTCCAGGTATCATAAAAGACTGAGCCACGTGTACAGTGTAATGTGACACGTTAGCAAGTGACACGGATTCACAGAGTCTATGTCATGTCGTTCGTCTTTGTAGTGCTATTTCAAGACTATAATGGGATATTGTGATTTGCAGCATTAGAAATGGGTAAATGTGGGAGGAAAGCCCGAAGTGATGCAGTTCTCAGAAGTTTACCACTTCTGTGAAACCCACGAGCACGGGTATGGTGCTGACAAACCTAGAAACATAATCGGGACGAACCGGGATTTGAACCCACAATCATAGGTTTCTGGCGTGTCCAAGGAACGCAACTCTGCGCGACGAATTGCGATGCCTTAGACGACTGGGCCACCTGTGCCCCCGTTCTTGACACAGGACTGCACTGGGTGACAAAATGGCTATGAGACTTATTTGAGTGTCAAATGGATCCAAGGGAGGCTACTCTCGTTTCCAGCATATCACTCAAGATCATTTGTAAATGCTTTGAAAACATCTTCCGCTTATTTCTGTATGGTCTACCCAACAACAACGACTTCACAATAAACATGAAAAGTAACTCATACCTCATTACTTAGCGAAGGAAATGGTCATAATAATGACATAGAACTTTGAGCAGTGGTGTAAGGAATCTTAAGCATAATAAATACTCATTAATATATTTATTATAAATATCATATCAGACCAAAGGATGAGTTACATTCATTTGGTGAGGTGAAATGGGGTTTTACGTTGCGTCCAAGATTATTGCACTTATATAGAGATGTGCATGCACATGTGTGTATGTATGTGGCTACTTGTACTAGTCCGGACTGATGCCGATTTATAGTGCTAGCTCACTGAGATACCTTGCCTCAGTTTAACATGAATACCCCACTCAGACACAGTGTACTGACTCCGAGCCGACCAGTCCTTGTTTTAGCCCCTTAAAGAAGATACCGTATTGCCTCCATTAAGCGCCCATACATATACAGTAAACTGCGTTTAAAACGAACAGGCTTATAACGAAAATGACGGATATAACAAACTGTTCTTTGGTTCCGGCCATTTGCTGTATATTCTATCATACAAAATTGATGGATATCACGAACACACTTATAACAAAATAACAGATATAGCAAACTCACCCTGTTGTACCGTTTGTACTCTGTCAACGATAATGTTTAAATGTATAACGAACTGTTAACCCCTGAGCTGAGCTCCTCACGTAACCAATCTGCCTATCAAGCACCCACAGCCAAGAGCTGCTGTTCAAAGCGGCAGTAAACAACTGAAGGCAGTTGAGTTACTCTTAAGCACTGACACCTTGTTCTCAAATTACACCCTAAATTAACAATAGTAACACAGTGATTAGGCTATGGAATTAGACAAGTCCATGAAGTGACAGAAGAGAAAAATCCTGCTACTGGTCGGCAACTTCCCCGCCCACCCAAAATGCTCCAAGATGTCTGACCGTCAAAATGCGTATAACAACGACAGATATAATGAACTAAAATTAGTGGTCCTTTTGAGTTCATTATAACCATAGTTTACTGTATATATTTATTAACTGAGAACCAGTGTTTATTGTTTTCAGATAACCGATACCCTAGTGTTTTATAGAGGCCAGGCATTTATTCCAGAAATATGGTACAATTGTTGAAGATTCAAGATACTCAGATCCTTGGCCTGAGAAGTGGCCCATGTGACTGCAGTCTATTGTCTACAGCCAATGAAATCTACGCTTGATTAGAGCCTGCATCAAGATAGCGACAGTCTAAACTTACCACTACCAGAATGTTAGTACCACCAGAGCTCCAGATAAGCTGCGTATCTGCGTAAGATACGCATCAGAAATGCAGAAATATGCAGTAAAATAAAATCAAAGCGTATCAAATACGCAACAAACATTACAGATACGCTACAAAAATAACTTGTGCGTATCATCAAAATATTGTGAAGTAACCCTGCGTATTCGATTAGCAAATCAGCAACTTATTTGGAAATTATAAATGGGCATTCCGTCAACCTTGCCAAACTCCATGATGACAGTTACATCATGATCATTTGCCATAACACGGGGAATAGTGATGTAATACACTGTAATAATAATAATAAAGTCCATTTCTTCAGCGAAAAGTAAGGGTCCGACACAAATCTGAAATTTTTTGCACTGGTGTTTGGGTTGCACTGGTGCATGTTTTATATAGTTAAATTTAGAGTAGGCTCTAAAGATTTTGGCACAGCCTGTGATATTGATACAAAACAAATGCATTTCTCGCATATGCTGGTGTCAAACAAAGGCAATTCCCATAGATCCTAGATTATTTCATTGTTGTTATATTACACAACTTAATCCATACATAGTGTTTGGAATCTACCTCTAAATCCTTGATATAACGATATCTACAGGGTAGTTGAGTCTGACCATGTGATAAGGCTCATTCATTATCTGAAGCACATTGAATTCTGTATCGTATTGTTGATCAGAGAACATGAACATGGATGAGTATTTTATCTTCCTATATCTCTGCAGTACTATGACATCTTATTCTTAGTTACCATGGTTACCGCATCCCTTCATTTGTTTCTAGTTCTTATCAGTTCACATGTTTTAGCTGATAATGTTATCATTTTTCTATTGTCTATCAAATCCACATGAATTAAGCATACATTTTTCCAACAAAGTGGTTAGAAAGTGGATAAACATGATAAAGTAGAGATAGGTTAAAATATGTTAACACATTATAATACAGGATTTGCATTAAACTGGAAATCAGGAAGTGTGGTGTAAATCCTATCAGCAGGCTTTTCTAACAGGTCGATTTGTAGACCCAAGCGTGTGAGCGAGTGAGTGAGTTAATATTTAAAGTCACATTGGCACTATTTCAGCCATATCGTGACTTGAACAAGTTAAGCATTTATATTATATATAAAAACGTGTTGTCAAAGGACAGTACAACAACTAGCAATATATCACAGATCATGATTGTAAAACTATTTTTAGAACAATAAAATGATCAGATTATAACATACGACACATTATAAAAACAGGCTGTAGATCGTCAGCAACAAAAGTTAGGCCACCATACTAGGGACCATGGGGACTTACAGTACTTCTGCTACCAAAATGGTACCCCAGCAGGATTTACACCATTCCCCTGGCTACGGGCGATGATCAGAAAGATTAGCCAAACAGTTAAAATCAACAAAAATACTACGATTAAAATCACAGAGAAATGAAAAGATACTTTGAATGATACCGGACTTACATACCCTCCCAGGAGGACAAGTGTTGAAGACCCAAGTAATGAATACAGAAAAGCTTATATTAAACGATGCACAAGTGTGTGTGTGTGTGTGTGTGTGTGTGTGTGTGTGTGTTATATATTAATAATTGCTTACACTATCTCAATGATAATGGACTTCCCATTATCAACATTGTACATGCCAAATGTTAGGGGGAAGGGGATGTTTTGTGGCATAGCGTCATACTTTATGCTACATTCGTCATCTTTACTTGGACTTCAACTAATTCTGTCAGTGGTTCTGTAATGTGAGCATTGCACTTATAGGACCAAATTTCCATTATCCACTTCCTCGCATTTTTGGCAAGAGGTACAGACATTCTCTAGGATTAACTTTTTTTTAACCCAGTCAGATCTGAACACATGAACTAATGCAACTGCTTATTGCCTGAAATCATTCTCCATTTAAAAATACAACTGCTGCATTCGCGAGCACGCAAAAACATGAAACACAAAGACGGAAGTGTTTACAAATTGTGCATCACAAACAGAACTGTGAATAGAAGAGATCGCACGCTTCCTCGCGAAACTCACCAGGGGTCGAATTCGTGGATAATGCTCTCAAATCGAATGACAGCGAACAGTCTAGAGCTAAAACCACCAAGCCAGGCAAGTGCAAGGATGAAGAAAGTGAGGAGACTTTTCCAGCCACCGGGGTTCCACATGGCAGAACGAATGTCTGTTTTCACAGCCATGCCGGTGTCCGCCATCTTGCAGGTTCTCTACACGTCATATATCAAGCAACCAATCAAAACACGGCACGCAGCTGCCCTCCGTCGTCGCTGCTATGCGTCCACTGACTGCTTTGTATGATATATCGACTCAATGTCTGGCGAGCGGTGAATTTATTCTCGCTGCGACCCTTCTGCAATAGCTTTGGATGATAATATGCCGCGTAAAACATAAATTGAAAAGGAAAAAAATGTCAGATGGACATTTTGTTATCGCTCTGTAAAATAGCATCGCCAGCATTTTCTCTGTCATCCCCATCTAATCTGTGTCGTGACGTATTTGAAGAAACGTAATTCCAGCCATTTAACGCCCCCCCCCCCCCCCCCCCCCCCCAAAAAAAAAGAGAAAAGAAGAAAAAGAAATAAAAAAGGAAAAATAGATGATGTTTTTAAAAAAAACAAATAACATATTTGTTAATGCAACACTCTAATTCAGTTTACTTCCTCTAATTTTCAGAATTATATTTTGTTCAAGTATCGAGCTCTACATAGAATCTAATATATCAAGCGATCACTTTAAGAGTTAGAAGTATACGCGACATCTGAAACATATCTGCGTATGAATTAAAGGCTTGCATGGTTTTCACTACCATTTGCTGTGTTTTTCGGAACATAATCTCTAAATCCTATTTTTATTCCCACGTGTTTTTTGCAGACACAACTATATGGAGCTCGTGGGGACAGCGCGGTGCCAATCGAATTCACGGACAATGAATAAATGAATCGCAAGTAAAGTGAGATTCGTTGATCAGAATACGATATTGTAATTTGTTGTCTGGGCTAAATGGAAACTGATACTAGTATCAAATATTTACATGCTATTATAGTGTGTAAACAGTCGACATCATGCATTGTTATCCGTAGTTATATTTTAAGTTAATCTGATCCACATGCGTATAAGACAAACACTCTTCATCAATTTAGGGGTTATAATATTTATCAATATACAAGACATCTCGCACAACATAATGAAGTCGATACCTAGGGCGTTTCCTCACCACAAAGACACATAATACAATCTACCGCAGCCTGTGGGTTTTCCCCAAAGTTGTATACTCCCCATGGAGCTGAGAATGAAATTCGATTGCACACTGATCCATTGACCGGGGTGATAACAATGTAGCGTCACGATCATTCTTTTTTTAATTTGACGAATTATATACATCTATTATTAGTATTAGTAAATTTAGTAATTAATGTCTATGAAGTGCGTCAATTGTATAAAGGTATGTTGTAATTATTAAAATATTGCTAAAATCGTGGTTAAACAGTGAGTGAGTTGGGTTTAACGCCACTTTTAACAGTATTCCAGTTATATCAGGGCGTGTCAGTTTAATGTGGGAGGAAAGCCCAAAATGATGCACTTCTCAGACGTTTACCACTTTAGTGAAACCCACGAGCACGGGTATGGTGCTGACGAACCTAGAAACATAATCGGGGCGAACCAGGATTTGAACCCACAATCATAGGTCCCTGGCGTGCTCAAGGGACGCAACTCTGCAAAGCGAATCGCGGCGCCTTAGACGACTGGGCCACCCATGCCCCGGTTGAACAGAATAACCCACTCACTCTCAAGTAAATAATCCACGATATGTCCTTTATATGCAACATATTTCTTTCTCTACCTCTATGCCAAACTTATAATGAGTGAGTGAGTATGGTTTCACGCCGCTTTTAGCAATATTCCAGCAATATCACGGCGGGGGACACCAGAAATGGGCTTCACACATTGTACCCATGTCGGGAATCGAACCCGGTTCTTCGGCGTGACGAGGGAACGCGGCAAACTTATAAAGCCGATATAGTGAGTGAATGTTATTTTACGTCAATCAACACTATTACAGCTTTATCTATCGCGGACATGTAGCCAAGGGGTTTAGCTATACCATAAGAGGTTGTCTATAGTAATATATGTGAATAATATTACATGCCCTGATAATAAGAGGAGGACACACGTTTGACTACAGACTATAGGTTATTATAATATGGGGGGCAATAGGTAGCCTAGTGGTAAGAGCGTTCGCTCGTCACGCCGAAGACCCGGGTTCGATTCTCCACATGGGTACAATGTGTGAAGCCCATTTCTGGTGTCCCCCGCCGTGATATTGCTGAAATATTGCCAAAAGTGAGGTAAAACCATACTCACTCACTCTTATGATATAGCACTTCTGAAACCAACTTCCGTTTTCCATTGTCTTTACCACCTACCCTATATTATTTATCTTTAAAACCACATCTTCTATATCAGTGGTATATGAAAATGATCATATGATTATAATAGGCCCTATGATGGTGGTTAAAAGAAATAGGCTCGCTTTAAGGGCGTTCGCTTGTTACAGACCCGAGATCGATTATCCATGAATCGATTACATGTTAATTTGTGAGGACCATTCTCCGTGCCCGAGCCGCCGTTCTATTGGTGAAATACCAAGATTTAACTCGTGAAGATCCGGGGTAGAATAGGTCTTCAGCAAACCATGCTTGCCGTAAAAGGCGACTATGCTTGTCGTAAGAAGCGTCAACTGGATCGGGTGATCAGGCTCGCTAACTTCGTTGATGATTGTCATCGTATCCCAACTGCATGGATCGATGCCCACAATGTCAATCACTGAATTGTCTGGTCGAGACTCGATTATTTACAAACTGCCGCCATGTAGCTGGAATATTGCTGAGTGCGGCGTTAAACAGCAATCAATCAAACAATCAATCAATCAATCAATCCATAATCTATGCGGAGCTAGTCGTTCAAATGAGTGAGTGAGTTGGATTTAACGCCGCTTTTAACAGTATTCCAGTTACATCACGGCGTGTCAGCTTAATGTGGGAGGGAAGCCCAAAATGATGCAGGTCTCAGACGTTTACCACTTCGGTGGAACCCACGAGCACGGGTATGGTGCCGACAAACCTAGAAACATAATGAGGGCGAACCGGGATTCGAACCCACAATCATAGGTGTCTGGCGTGCCCAAGGGACGTTACTCTGCACAGCGAATCGCGGCGCCTAAGACGACTGGGCCACCCGTGCCCCTTAGTCGTTCATGTATTTTGCAGAATCGATGTAGGTCATGGCGTCTTGATATTTTCTCTGACCATTTCCGGGCTTTATAACCTCCTATTGTATTGTTCTCAGTTATTTTCCATATCGCCTTTGTGGGGAAATGTCGATCATTGCCTCGATAAATGCCTCAATTACACGAAACAGTCTACACTGTTTAACTACGTTAAGTAGATCATGTATCACCGATGTATACATGGATGTTATTGCTCATGTATTGTGCCAATCTGAAGTGTAAAACAAAATCTTGATGAAATGTTGTGATTTAGATCTACATAATCTACCAATGTCAGCCAGCTTGTATTTGTCAATCACAGATTCCACTGTCCATACACCAAGAGTTTGCGTGGTGACGTCATTTGGCGCCCTTCTGTGAATGCACTGAACTGGCGAAATAGCGTTGTGATACTTCCAGCTCATGTTGCTCAGTTGGTTCATGGCATATTGCCCACAATGGGTATAACACGACGCCATATTTGAACGCAGGGCACAGGAGTTGGTCTCCCAGCTCGTAGTCCCATGTCTCTTAGAGAGCCAATGGTACGTCTGAAATTGGCACATGCTCTTCTAGTTCTCTCTGTTTCATGTTGTGTAGTCATTACACACCCGGCATAGTGTTGGTTTCAACGGGAAGGTTTTTGTCGAGTTTGAAAACAGTTTCCCTTTCTCCTCTATGGCTGCCAGTGTACACAAGAACTCAACTTCCTCTCTGTGAAGAACAAAGCAGTGTCGTCTGCTAGCAGCACAGCGGGAATATGTTCCCCTCCAACGACAAGTCCATGAATATAAACTAAAAACAACTATGCTGTTAGAACTCGCCCTTGACCAACACCCTGACGAACCTTTAAGAAGTCACTTGTACATGTGTCATATTTGATACATGCTGTAGTGCCTTTATACGAATGTTGTATCAGGTGCCAGACTCGATCATATATTCCATATTCGAACAATTTCAGGAGTATACCATCGTGCCAGATACGGTCGAATGCGTTTTCGTTGTCTAAGAAAATTGCATACACGTTCGATTGCCTCTCTAGATAATAGGATATAACGTCCTTCAGTATATGGATAGCTGTTGTGGCCATTCTGTTTGTAACGCGTTGGCCATTTGTGAGAGTCTCTGCGGCGTGTTCTGACGTTGACGTCATTTCGATCGAGTTCATCCCAGAGGTGTTCAATTGGGTTGAGATCTGGAGATATCGACGGCCAGGGCAAGGCGTTGATGTTGGCATTATGAAGGTAGTCTACCGTGACACATAAACACGGTGTCTTCCATCTGGCCGGTGAAGAAGAAATCGTGATTCATCGCTAAACCACACTCGTCTCCAGTTTCAAGGCTGTAAGGTATGGCACCAACGCAAGCGTCGCTGTCGGTGGAAGTGTTGCAAAACAGGGACGATAACTGGTCTTCTGGGTCGGATTCCAGCCTCGCGAAGATGGCTCCTGACAGTCTGGTCCGATATCCTCCTCAAACCAGGGATGCGTCCTGCAGTCTCCGTAGCTGTGGCATTGCGATGACGTAGGAGGATCAGTCAAATGTAGCGATCCTGTGCATGGGTGGTAACTCTTGGTCGGCCGGTTCTCGGACGGTCTGCAGCAGAATTGAACTGTGTGTATCGGTCCCAAAGGCGGCAGTTGGTGCTGTGGTGGCGTGCAACAGAAGACTGCGATTCCCCTCTTTGGATACGCCCTATGGCGATGTTCCGATCGGCAGCGCCGAGTCTCGGCATTTTCGAACTCGAAAAATGTTGACAATTGCATGACAAATTATTGGCTTATGCTTGCCTTTTTATATGTTTGATTCAATAGTGTCCTTGGCATCCTGGACCAGGCAAAATGGATCCTAGAAGTAAGTCTACTTCTGTTCCGTAAAGATCCAGTTGTGCTGAATCAGCTTTAGACCACTTTAGCTTATCCTCAGTGTTTGTTTGTTTGTTTGTTTGTTTGTCTGTTTAACGCCACACTCAGCAATATTCCAGCTATATGACGGCGGTCTGTAAATAATCGAGTCTGGACCAGACAATCCAGTGATTGACATCATGAGCACCGATCCACGCAATTGGGATACCATGACATGTCGCATGACATGACATGCATCGTTCCCGTTAGTCGCCTCTTACGACAAGCATAGTCACTTTTTGCGGCAAGCATGGGTTGCTGAAGACCTATCTTCACGGGTCTTATCCTCAGTGAGAAATATGTCGCCATGAAATGTTGAGGTCACAGGATAATGATCTGATGCACGAAAAGGAATGGTACTGTCAATTGTAGTCTTAACAACTGCACCCTGGAGACTGGGTGGTACAAAGGTATAATCCAAGACTGATTATTGAGTATGAGTCAAGCTTCAAATAACCCTTCAGCAATACCACAAGAGTTCGAATCCACCATGCCGCGATCTGATAGATACTGTACGAGTAGTTGCTATAGAACAGTAACAAGAGGGGAGTATTTGTCTTTAAATAATATTGTCACACTTAACTTTTACTGTTTGTTGGAGGGACGGTCGGGTAGCCTAGTGGTTAAAGCGTTCGCTCGTCACGCCTAAGACCCGGGTTCGATTCCCGACATGGGTACAATGTGTGAAGCCCATTTCTGGTGTCCCCTGCCGTGATATTGCTGGAATATTGCTAAAAGCGGCGTAAAATCAAACTCGCTCACTGTTTGTTGGAAACATATGATCTGATCAAATCAGCCCACCATTAGAAAGACCGGAAGCGCTAAAATGGAAAGCTACCCCAAATAGTGAAAATATGGGAACAAAGGGAGGGCTCACTCAAAGTATTTTCATGTGCGATACCTACTTATAAACAGAAAACAAACAACAGCTATAAATGTTGGTCTTAAATATAATTCATTATCACTAAATTAACATTCAATTCCAAAGTTCTGCAATACTTTATTTCAGGGGGTGAAATAACAAGAATGATTTTTTTCCTCACAAATTGAAGAGGTTTTAGGGTACTACTTCTAAAATATTTTTTAAAACACTTGGCTGACATACTAGTATTCATGTTGACATTTATAGAAAAAAATGTGATTCTATCATAACCACTTAATCCAAAAAATATTTTTCAAATTTGTTACTTGGAAGCAAAAATACAACAAGAATTCTGACATTATCTGATATTGACCTATTTTACGAAAAGTTAGTATCATAAATAACTTTGTCCGGGGCACGGATGGCCCAGTCGTCGTTATAAGGCGCCGCAATTCGTTGTGTCTCTTGGTGTACCAGAAACCCTATTGCAGCAGACCTGTCAACACCTTAACCCATCCTTGGGGGCACGGGTGGCCCAGTCTCATAGCCATTTTGTCACCCAGTGCTGTCCTGTGTCAAGAACGGGTGTACAGGTGGCCCAGTTGTCTAAGGCGTCGGAATTCGTTGCGCAGAGTTGCGTCCCTTGGACACGCCAGAAACCTATGATTGTGGGTTCGAATCCCGGATCGCTCCGATTATGTTCCTAGGTTTGTCAGCACCATACCCGTGCTCGTTGGTTTCACCGAAGTGGTATACGTCTAAGACCTGCATCACTTCGGGCTTTCCTCCCACATTAAGCTGACACGCCGTGATATAACTGGAATACTGTTAAAAGCGGCGTTAAACCCACCTCACTCACTCACTCACTGGACCTGAATCACTTTGCTAAGCTCAAGCTGTTAATCACTTGTTTTGCTGGTCTAAATTCGTTCTTTAAAGGCTGTCGATATATAGGTTGAATTATTGCGGAGTAAAACAATATGCATACATTTACTCTCTCTCACTTACATTCTCTAATTTCTTTCGAAGTAGATCTTGTGTATGATTTGGCAACCTTTTGAAACTGTCAAACTGCAGTTAGAAAACGTGAAGTCAACAAGCGGGCATCAACGTGTCATCATCTGTTTGAGAAACTGCAATGAAAAAGGTTCCTATTTTTATATCTAGACCATGCTGTGCCACGTAATCAGACCTAACTGGGTTGAGTTAATGTCAAGTGCAGGGAATGTGCGGCTAACAAGACGTGGGCAATTAGAGCCGGCTTATGCACCTCACTGTAGACCGTGGCTACACAACTATTTACAAGTGGCACGTGGTTCTGTTGGAGGTGGTGAGGGGAAATAGGGTTTAACGTCGCGTCCAAGAGTATTGCACTTACGTATAGCGACGTGCATGCACGTGTGTGTGTGTGGCTGCTAGTACTAGTCCGGACTAGCTCACTGAGATACCATGCCGCAGTTTAACATGAATACCCCACTCAGACACAGTATACTGACTCCGAGCCGACCAGTCCTTGTTTTAGCCCCTTAATGCCGAGCGCCAGATAGGGTTACAAGAAGTACCATCTTTTAACGTCTTTTGGTATGACGCGGCCGGGGATCGAACCCCGGACCTTCCGCTCCCCGGGCGGACGCTTTACCATTAGACCACGGAGGCGGTCCGGTTCTGTTGGAACAGAGCACAGGTCACATTATAGTTGTTGCATGGGTGACAGCGTTCGTCAGCTTGACCCCTGTGCGTTTCTTGAGCTTCGGCTGTTCCACGCTAATGCACATGTTTGTTTGCTTACTTGTTGTTTAACGCCGCACTCAGAAGTATTCTAGCTATATGACGGAGGTCTGTAAATAACTGATTCTGGACCAGACAATCCAGTGATTGACATCATAAGCATCGATCCAAGCAATTGAGATATGATGACATGCATCGACCAAGTCAGGGAGCCTGACCAACCGATCCCTCTTACAATAAGCGTATTCGCCTTTTACGGCAAGCATGGGTTGCTGAAGACCTGTTCTACCCCGGATCTTCACTGTTAAGCACGTGTAGCACATGTGACGTCTCCTGGGGTAAGTGACTTTGTTCGACATTTGCCTCCGTTGACCCTGTAGTGAATGGGTACCTGGTAGGACGAAATGGTAATGTTGACCTTATATAGCCTGACTCCCCAGGGAGCTGAGAATGAAAATCGGATGCACACTAATCCATTCACCGGAGTAATAATGTAGATCTATCATAGGCTAGGCGAATTTGAGAAGTTATACATTGGAAAGAGCCTGTACAAATTCATACATTATCATTTAGGCGAGGCACGTATATATACTGAATTGACGGCACCATGTTTTTGAACGCATGCTTGTCACACAAACGGCGCTCTGCTGGTTATTTAGATTAAAAAGACTCGAAACTGATTCACATTTATTTACAAAATCCATGAAATGTCATTGTTGTCCTCGAATTATTTAACATGGCGCGTTGCAATTGTCCTTCATCCGCTCATCTATCGTAATCCTAGACAATTTCGACAGTTCCATTGACACCACTAGACCTATCAAGCTGAACTTTGCAAGGATGGTCAATTTTAGGGTCTCAAACAGAATTTGGGCCGATTGAAACATCTATTCTTTGGAAATGATTATTTTGATAACTTTTAACCCTTCTGCAACTATCATTGTACATTTGTTTTACAATAAGGTTATGTAAAGAGGAATAATACAACGTTTTTAAAAATGTTGTTTTCACCATACTATGACTTTTGAACATAGTGAAGCAGTAATATTTGTATATCATCAAAGCAATTGTATTGCATAAATTACTCCTATTCTAAACATGACTGCCATGGCGTCAACATTGGTAGTTCTTGTCGACTACCCAGTGAGTAAACTGTGTTATCTCAAACGCATGTGTGGTATGTGACATGTACGTTGCGTTCTCTTGTGTGTGTAGGCAGTTGGCGCAGTATGTGACCTACTGTAATGCATGACAATCCTATTGAACGTGTGTGGTACTTTAGCCAGTCATAAATTACCATGTTATCTAATGTGTTACAGTTAGAATGTGTGAGTGAGTTGGGTTTAACGCCGCTTATAACAGTATTCCAGTTATGTCACGGCGTGTCAGCTTAATGTGGGAGGTAAGCCCGAAGTGATGCAGGTCTCAGACGTTTACCACTTCGGTGAAATCCACGAGCACGGGTATGGTGCTGACAAACCTAGAAATCGGGGCGAACCGGGATTCGAACCCACAATCATAGGTTTCTGGCGTGCCCAAGGGACGCAACTCTTCACAGCGAATCGCGGCACCTTATACGACTGGGCCACCCGTTCCCCCTCGGGGTCCTAAGGTATGATGTAGAAAGGTGAGGTAAAAATAGCGTCGCGTTTAAGATTACTGCACTTACATAGCGACGTGCGTGCATGTGTGTGTGTGTGTGTGTGTGTGTGAGAGAGAGAGAGAGAGAGAGAGAGAGAGAGAGAGAGAGAGAGAGAGAGAGAGTGTGTGTGTGTGTGTGGCTGCTTTTTCTAGTCAGGTCTTATGTCGGTTTTTTAGTACAAGCATACTAGCACCATGCCGCAGTTTAACATGAAGAACCAGTCCTTAATGCCAAGCACCTGGCGGGGTAACGTACATCATCATTTTTAGCAATATTCTAGCAATGTCACGGCGGGGAACACCAGACATGGGCTTCACACATTGTACCCATGTCGAGAATCGATCCGGGGTCTTCGGCGGACGAGCGAACGCTTAAACCACAAGGCTACCCGACCGCCCCAATGAGGTTTTGAACATATTTCAGTTACATAACGGAATGTCAGTCTTTATATGGTGGAAGATCTAACAGCTCCGTGGGCCGTAGATGTTTATCCCTCTGTCGGTGTGGTGCTGATAGATAAAGGATAAAAAATGGAACCGACTAGAAGCGGATCCTGGCATGACCAAGGGAGGTGATAGTAAAAATGCTTTAATCATGTATCAAAATCAATAACATCAAATAGAAAAAAACGCATACTGTGTATATATATACAGTATAACAGTAGAAAGACAAAATAAAGTACATCTGTATTGAGACTATAATATAAATGCCTAAACTCCACCAAGGAAGAGGTATTGTGAACTATGGGTATGTCAATCCCTTAACAGAAACATAAAATTTCAAACTTCAGCTGTGATGTCTATGCACGTTTTTTGTGCATAATGTTAAGAAAACGGAGTCGCCTGATTCATCCAAGGATCGGTGTTCTCTCGGTGAGTGTGGGTTGTATGGACTGCCGGTTTTGCGGTGTACGACCCAGCAATGTTGCAAATTTCAGACAGAGGCACACTGCGGCCACCCCCAGCAAAACCGCGGAGAAGATAGAGCTTGACTTCAGGGGGTCCCAGTTCTTTGCAATGATGCCGACAAGAGCGACGACAACGACGAGGTAGGGCGTAAAGATGTAGCGAGAATATTGGTACAGGACTGAAAGGTCAAGGGCGACGAAGACAACGACTTCCACGGACAGGAGGCTGAGAATTATGAGGGCTGTGGTGGACGAGTCAAGGGGGTTCTCCAGCTTGTACTCTAGCACTGCCCCCAGGTTGAGAAGCGTTGCTATGGTAACCCACGCCGCATATATTCCAAGGCCATTCTGAACCACGTATCTCACCAGATAGACGTCGTAGGTTCTTCCGTGTTCACTCAGATACAAAATATTCCATTGCAGGAACCTGTACGAGATTCCAATGCAAACGTAGAGAGTGACCGATGTTGCCAGAAGGACGAATACCGAAGCGATGACATATTCCCTATCCCACAAGAACAGCCAGACGCCATTTGTGATCATGTTTAGGATGTAGGTGATAAAGAAACCGACCGGAAGTAGCATTGGGGTCGTGTATACTGGTCCATCCGGGGTACTGCGACATATGGCAACGAGGCTGTAGATGATCCACAAAAACTGCCAGAGATAGATGACTCCCCAGATTGCAAACGTCGCACCAGCCGGAGTGACCTCCAGGTTGTAGATGGCGGAGACGTTGCCGATGCCATGGATGAACAAACCTGCAAACAAAAAATTCACTTGATGACATATTGTAAATTTACTGTTCATTCAGCAGTGTTATCTTTAATGGAGACTGACATTCATTTCGTAAAACTATCATTCAGTGAATCATGTTCTCCTCAAGGGGATTCATTCGTGACCAACTCGTGTTATTCCGGGACAAGCCGAATAGCGACTCGTGCCCCTCTCGTGGTCATTTTTGCGACCGGGTTCCATCTTAGCGCAAACGGGCATACCTAAAACAATTGTTGCGTAATGGTTCACATATATTTCCCCATATATCATATATATTTCAGATGCAATTTAAAGCACATCGGGACGTGTGGAAGTATACAGTATGATTGCACACATTTAACTGTGTCTTGGGTATATTTTTATATGCAAGACATATGTAAAATCAAAAATTATTTCTGAGGGATTCCTCGACGAAGAACTTGAACTCATACGCGCATTCTGATTGGTTTGTCGTATTTTCGCACAAAACATTCATCGATAAGGGGACGAGTCTTCTTGCAGGTTACGGAAAGGGGCGAGTGGTGACGAATGAAGGGGATTCAGGATTAGAATTGGTTCCCTAGAAACTGGTCGTAACAGGCGACCAAATGGATCGGGTGGTCAGACTTGGTGACTTGAATGATTGTGTGTCATCGTATCGCGACGGCTTGGATCTTGATCACAACATCAATCACGGCATGGATTGTCTGGTCCAGATACCATAACCTCAACTGATGCAGATTCTTATATTTATCCTATACGAGTATATAATTATCTAATATTTTGTCATACCTCGGCAAGGTGAAAATCGCGAAGGTTCCCTTTCCGCGCGCGCGCGCGCGCGCGTGCGTGCGTGTGTGTGTGTGTGTGTGTGTGTGTGTGTGTGTGTGTAAAGATTTGGGTTAGAATTGGTCTTCAGCTTCGTCGTAAGAGGCGACTAACGGGATTGGGTGCTCAGGCTCGCTGACTTTGTTGATGTATATCATCGTGTCCCAATTGCGTGGATCGATGATCATGATGTCAATCATTGGATTGTCCGGCCCAGACTCGATTATTTATAGACCGCCGTCATATAGCTGGAATATTGCTGAGGACAGCTTCAAACAACAGACATCAGACTTCTCATATTTGATGTGGACCTTATATGGAATGCTTCACTACAGATAAGAGTGGGTGAGTGAGTGAGTGGGATTAAAGGCCAAAATTGATGCAGGAAGGGACGTTGACAATCGCAGGTTCGGTCATAACTATTGCCAGAGTATCCTGGCATCCAAGGGACATAACTCTTCACAGCAAACGAGGATCAGCAGGTCATGGACCAGTATACTTCCCGAGGCTAGAGAGTGAACTGACTGTAAAAGTCCAGTTTGCACCCTTGTCGAGCTAGGCTGGAATTATGGAGTTTTGGCTTGACTAACAAGACTATGCATAGTCCAATCAAAATCGCATAACGATCTAGACATCCGGCTTGTAAACAACATATATTTCAAGGTGCAGATTTCCTGCAGGATTTGCAACGCATGCGTACTGTAAACTCGGCGTCAGATATTTTCCAAATCATTTCATGTTTTTAATCAAAGGCGATCACGTGATTTGATGCACTTCGCGAGGTAAGGCCCGTTTTACTACAATGTAGATCTTGATCATCGATCAGATCGTCTTGACTCGGCGCGGCCATTTGTTTTGAGCAAATACAAGTGATATGAGAGGTGGAATCTGATTGGTCAATAGGAGGGGCATAGAAGGGACATAACTTGTAGTAACCAGTGGTGGCGCACTGATCGAGCCCAGATATTCCAGCCTTCAATTCGGCAAGGGTGGAAACTGGACTTTTACAGTCAGTTACCTCCCTTGCCTCGGGAAGATGGGACCAGTACTGCATGTGTTGGTGTGTTTACCTCCACTGTTGCTGGGGTCGCCGGCGAGGTAGTTGAGAACGAGGAGTCCGACGAAGACGACGGCATTGATGAGGATGAGGAGCAAAAGGCAAACATTCCCTTGACCTTTCATGATGACTGCTGACTTGAATACTGCAATGTCAATACTCTTTACTAGAATGCCAATACTTGTAATTATAATGTGAACACTTCAACTACAGTGTAAAGACTTGCAACTCTCGCTTGAATACTGGAACCATGAAGATCCGGGGTAGAATAGGTCTTAACCCTCTGGATGCCGATTACAATGTACCTAATTTTCAGAGGTCATTTACAGTACTTGTGCTTGGCCTAAGATGCCAGTGGATGATATCACAGAACAGGGAATGTCCCACCTTATTCAAACCTGTGAAGTGTATTTGTGTGGGTGGTGTATTTTGAATTTTATTCGACTTCAAAGTGAGGGTTGTAAAGGAGGGGCATATATGTCCCTGTGGCATCCAGGAGGTTAACCAACCCATGCTTGCCGCAAAAGGCGACTATGCCTGTCGTAAGAGCTAGGCGACTAACGGGATCGGGTGGTAAGCCTCGGTGGCTTGGTTAATGCATGTCATCGTATCCCAGTTGCGTGGATCGATGATCATGATGTCAATCACTGGATTGTCTGGTCCAGACTCGATTATTTACAGACCGCCGTCATATAGCTGGAATATTGCTGAGTGTGGCGTTAAACAACAAACAAACAAACACTTGAATACTGCAACTGCATATAAATAGTCGGAACTGTAACATGAATGGATAGGAAAACAGTACTTGCTCAATACAATCAATCCACTTGAAAGGCATATATACATTTTGTTTTACCTTTAACACTTTGTTGTGTACCAAAACAGAAAATACAATTGATTGACCCAAATATAAAATATGCATGTCGTGACAAATGGTTGCAGGACCAATAGGTGGATTATCTGGACACGGGGATCAAACTGTATGTACACCGGTCATTATATAATATGCGTTAGAGACTGCGCAAAACCTAAATCTTGATTCACATCAAAACAGAATAGAGTTTCCAGAAATATTAGCCCCGTCACTGTCTTTCTAAAAGGATAAGGTATCTTCTATCACGATTCTGACGTCGAAATCCGAAACTGCGCAATCAAAACAATAACACCAATATACTACCGGTGTTGGGTCCCGTCTCGCGATCATATTAATACTGATTCCTAGATTTCTAGTTGTCATTCATTTGAAAGATGTGTAGCATTTGTGTTTAATACCCACATGGGTACTACCATCAACAATAACAAGTATATGAGGTATTGCCATGCTACCCACCTTGTATCTGCTCACCTGTCGACTGACAAACTGCGAGAGCGGATGACCGCGCTGTGAACGAGTCACGTGACCTGTAGAGCCGAGCTCGTTTCACAGCCGGCCTATATTTTCAACTTTCTTATATAACAGCCGCGCTTGAAAGTCTGTACAATAACCCGTACAAATGTTTACTGTATAAACTGTCTCGTATATATTTATTGTATTTATAATATATCTCGTGCATTTGAGTTTCAAGTGAACAGCCCATATGCATGTACCGTATTCGACGTAATAAGCGCCCATGGCGATAATTGCTAACATATTAGCTAGTGAACAATCCCAATTAGCACCCCTTCCGATTGATCAATGTACACAAGACTTTTATATTCGCGTATAATACGCAATCGTGTGTTATATGCACCCTTAATTATGGGCAATTAAATTCTGGAAAAATATATCTGTAATACATAAATATTTCAGGCTGTCAGCATAAACCACGAAATTTATCTTTCAACTCTGTTTTTTCCACCAAAATAATATTCTAAGAAGAGCTCACTTTTTGTAATTTTGAGAGCGCCCTTGGCGCTTATTACGTCGAATACGGTATATACCTACCGTGGATATACCGATAGAGAGAAATATGGGAACAGCCGTGAGGTATAGAGGATTATATATATACGGTGAAGCAAGGTGAGGTGAAAGTGTCTTTAACGTCGCGTCCAAGATTATTGTGTGTGTGTGGCTGCATGAACTAGTCCAGACTGATACCGATTTATAGAGCTAGCTCACTCAGATACCATGCCGCAGTTTAACATGAATACCCCACTCTCACAGTATACTGACTCCAAGCCGACCAGTCCTTGTTTTAACCCCTTAATGCCGAGCGCCAGACAGGGTAACAACATGTACCATCTTTTAACGTCTTTTGGTATGACGCGGCCGGGGATCGAACCCCGGACCTTCCGCTCCCCGGGTGGACGCTCTATCACAAGACCACGTAATCAAGAGATTTATGGTATGTGTAACGATAGGACCAAATCAGTGAGATCATACATTTTATATAACCACCCATTTATAATCTATGTTGGCTCTTAAACATGCATATGGAATCATTGGAATTTAATTATTCTGTTCACCACGGGGATTCCTGGTTACAACTTGTCCCTAGCAACCAAGAATGCTGGGCGTAAAAGGCGATAAAATGGATCGGGGGGTCAGGATCGCTGACACTGGATTGTCTGGTCCAGGCTCGATTATTCACAGGCCGCCGTCATATAGCTGGAATATTTCTGAATGCGGTTTAAAACTACAAACTAACAAAAAAAACTCTGCCAAGGAACCCCAACGGTGTTATAATGGGTGTAAGATTGTATCACTCATACGCTATACGTTATAGTGGTTAAAGCGTTCGCTCGTCACGCTGAAGACCCGGGTTCGAGTCCCGACATGGGTAGAATGTGTGAAGCCCATTTCTGGTGTCCCCCGCAGTGATATTGCTGGAATATTGCTAAAAGCGGCGTAAAACCAAACTCACTCACTCACTATAGCAGTATCACGAAGGGAACATGTGGTTTTATGCGTTCTGCGTTATGTTTTATACCACGAAACCGGAGGCAAGTTGTATAAAACCCAACGGGGGATGCATAGAACCCTATGTACCCCGAGTGATACTGCTTCAACGAATATATCCCACTAACAAATTTTAATCTGCCATTGTAAAAGAATTAATTCAAACTCAAAATTGATAGAAAACAGCTGTTCGATTTTGCTGATGTTGACGGGTGCTATGTGCATCCTTTGCTTCGAAACTGGGTACAAGGGATTTATTCTCCCGCTCAGATATGTATTTCCTCCCAGTTGGGATACAAAGATCACGTGGACCAGTCAGATCTCATCATTCTGACACGGGACCCGTGAAGATCCGGGGTGGAATAGGTCTTCAGCAACCCATGCTTGCCGTAGAGGGCGACTATGCTTGTCGTAAGAGGCGACTAGCCGGATCGGGTGGTCAGTCTCGCTGATTTGGTTGATGCATGTCATCGCATCCCAATTGCGTGGATCGATGCCCATGATGTCAATCCCTTGATTGTCTGTTCCAGGTTCGTTTCTTTACAGACCGCGGCATATGACTGGAATATTGCTGAGTGCGGCGTTAAACAACAAACAGGCAAGCAAGCATTCTGACATAGAGGTATGTTGAAGTAGTTTATGAAGATCACGTGAACCAATCAGATCTCATCATTCTGACACCGGACCCCTGAAGAACCGGGGTAGAATAGGTCTTCAGCAATCCATGGTTGCCGTAAAGGGCGACTATGCTTGTCGTAAGAGGCGACTAACGGGATCGGGTTGTCGGGCTCGCTGACTTGGTTGATGCATGTCATCGTATCCCAATTGTGTAGATCGATGCTCATGATGTCAATCACTGGATTGTCTGGTCCAGACCGACGTCATATAGCTGGAGACATATTCTACCCCGGATCTTCACGGGTCCCACGGATGTCTGTGTCATAGGATCAGTTATTGTTTCAAACGAAATTTCTAGAAAGTGATAAAAAAAAGCATTCATTCCCTCACATGAAGGGCTTGTATCGAACCTAGATAATCAAGCCAACAGCCTGTATAACGTATACAATATACAGACCCATTCTTGTGTCCCGCCGTGATATTCCTCTAATATTGCTAAAGGCGGCATAAACTTATATTTACTCACTCACTCTTTAAGTTTAAGGAATATTGTTAATTATTGTAAGCAAATTAAACACACAGTTTGTTTTCAAACGCACATATACAATAACTCATTTATTTCAATATTTAACAATATCCGAATATGGTCCTGGACGTTTAAAATAGTCGAGGGCTCTGACTCTGTAGTAGCCGCGAACAACGTCATCCGGGTCATCGCCTGCAATGCAATTTTGTTATTAAATTGTTACACGTTTGACTAAATTCTATCAACCCATGATGCTTGTAAATGCGACATTACATAATAGTGAACGATAAATTATCTTATATACGTAAAATGTCAGTACTGATATACAAATAGTACATGTACAAAAAACAACAACATATACTCAGGTTCTAGACATCATTGAGGTGACAGGGTAGTCTGGTAGTTGAAGCGTTCGCTCGTCACATCAAAGACCCGGGTTCGATTCCCGACATGGATACAATGTGTGAAGCCCATTTCTGGTGTCGCGATATTGCTGGAATATTGCTAAAAGCTAAAACTCCTTACATAATAACGTGTTTCCGCTTACTGATATTGGTGTTTCCAGTTAAATATCATTTCATTGTCGTTATTACTGACACCTGTTTCAGATTATTAAAAAAAATATGTGTTCGATAAGAATATTGCAGACATAATGCCTACCTGGTTTGGGATCAGGGGAGACAACCAGTGTCGTCACAATGGTTGCATCGTGATTGACAAGCTGAAATGGACCTTCTTCCTGTTTGGAGTACTCCACTTCATATGTACTGATACACCTGTATGTGGGACAATGTGAAAATACACGATGTAAGTCAAATATTAATATCAACAATGAAGTTTCTACACACATTTCACACTTAGCAGGTGCTGTTTATCATATTAATGATAAATTATTTTCAGAATAATTTAAAAAAAACATACATGACCGTTGTCAGTTGCTTCCGGGGTTTGAATAAACACTATTTTAAATGACACTCGTATGTAATGTTTACTCGTCAAAATCAACATATGGATATGAGTTACGTCAATTTGTAGTGATAGGAAACTTTCCCAAGTAAACCCCGCTTACAGAGTCTTATTGGTATAAGGCACAACTCGCATCCCTCAAATCTTAGAAAATTCTAACAAATTCAACATTTAAAATAGCGGCTACTTCCCTGACAGATTCGAGGTTGTTATTGTTTTTTGACAGGATACATTTATTATAATAGACAGAATATATATATATATATATATATATATATATATATATATATATATATATATATAAGTCGAATATCTCGCGTGAGTGAACAGGACATATCATCATAATGCGTCCCAAGCGCTGTAGGTAACACCTGTCGCAGGTGACATCTGTCGGCTTTGTCAGTGACAACGTGGACCTGCTACAAACACGTGTTGCACGTGGCCGTGTATCTCGGTGTGAACGTAAATTTAAGCAAGTTGGTTTTAGGCAGGGTATGAAATACTTGCCAGCCCTGACCAAAACCTGCCTGCCCACTATAATCATATGTTTCTCGGGATAAGCTAACGGGGTTTCTTTTTGGTTACATTTTATCATTCATCTTTACATGTGAATTAATGCTTATCATCGGGAAATATTTAGAATATTGTCACATATGAAATATAACCCGACCGTCGGGCAGGGGGGATTTGAAAATCTGGCAGCCCGAGTTGAAATCAACCCGTCTCGGACGGTCGGGCAGGCAGGTATTTCGAACACTGTTTTAGGACGACAAATACATGTCAGCCTGATTCGTGGAACCACAAAATGACTCAGATCCTAGACGTTTACCACTTTTGTGAAACGAGGTATTGTGCTGACAGACCAGGGGCGATAATCAGGTCTAATGTGGGATTCGAATCTATGCCCTGTGGTTTGAGGAAAGCTTAAGACTAAGGTTAAATCCTGCCGTATCACTGCACTCCCCAGCTCTCTACCCCACCCCCACCCCCAGCACACACACAAATTCACCCCATCCCCTCTTATCAACAGCCCCTCTCCCCCTCCACCACCCCAACCCCCCACCCCCGACTCACTTTGTCTTTATGGCTTCATCTGACCACACCACCTGCACTTGTCCAGCCGTGACCTCAATAAAGCGGACACCAGTCACCTGACACAGCAAGTGGACGTTATGGTTTTAAGGGACCGACCATTTCATATTCTGCCGCATTAGAATTTTCGGGGCCAATTTTGTTAAATATATATTATATATATATTTTATATATATATATATTTTTTTTTTTTTGGGGGGGGGGGGGGGGGAGAAATTACACAGTTACAAAGACAGTGTTCACAGAATTGTAAAGACAGAGTTCACACAGAGTTATAAAGACAGTGTTATAAAGACTAACGGGGTCGGGTGGCCAAGCTCGCTGACTTGGTTAACGCATGTCATCGTATCCCAGTCGATGCTCATGATGCGAATCTCGGGATTGTCTGGTCCAGATAGATTATTTACAAACCACCGTCATATAGCTGGAATACTGCTGAGTGTGGCGTTAAACAACAAACAAACAACATACATGGATACATATAATAATTGTCAATAGATTACAAATTCAACACTGTTTAAAAAAGGATACCATACAAAAATAAACGTTGGGTAAAGAATGTTTTAAAACTGAGACTGCATCCAGTGTATGCATTCACCCTTCCCTTAAAGCAACCTTGTACTGTGTTTTTATCAGAATTCTGATCGGTTGTAATCATCTGATTATCATGCAATCAAGGTTCTGTCATTGCATAGCGATTCTACCCGTTACGATCCGGGGTAGAATAGGTCTTCAGCAACCCATGCTTGCCGTAAAAGGCGACTATGCTTGTCGTAAGAGGCGACTAACAGGGTCGGTGGTCAGGCTCGCTGACTTGGTTGATGCATTTCATCGATGTCAATTGCGTGGATCGATGCTCATGATAATAATCACTGGACTTTCTGGTCCAAACTCGATTATTTACAAACCGCCGTCATATAGCGGGAATATTGCTGAGTGTGGCGTTAAACAACAAACAAACAAACACTTGAATACTGCAACTGCATATCAATAGTCGGAATTGTTACATGAATGGATAGGAAGACAGTGCGGCTTTAAACAACAAACCCAACCAAACCAAAATCTACCCTTTACCAAGGCGAGTGATCTATAGCTACCGCAGTCTGCGACTAAGCAGACAATTGCTGATAGCACGTGATTCCAGACCTGTTCAGGGGGGTGCCTCGACTTGCCACACAGGTGCAGCACAACTACTGTGTCGGTGAGGATCTGGAAGCCCGGGGGTAGCAGCACGGTGGTGGCATTGTGGGGGACATACGCACTCGTCGGTATCACGTTCTGCAATGGAAGACCCCTGCTCAATCACCATGTACCGACACTATATGACAAGTCGTTCTGTAACACACCTTTAGAATGTTAAACAGGCCAGACGTTATTAATCTAGGTTTACAAATCCACCGACTCCAAATCATTGAAATGTGAAAAAAAGGTATACAAAATCAAAAGCAATTGTATTTTTATTCCGCCGACCGGGGACCGTATTCATAAGAAAGATTCCGAGTGCTTAAGAAGTCTAAGAGTCTGAGAAAATTCTAAGAAAAAGTAACAGTTAATCATAACAAAAACTAGGACTAAGTGTACACCAAAAGCTAAGAGTACTCGAGAGAAATATTAGTGGTTTATGAATTTCCTTAACAATTCAAAATGGCCGCCATTCACTAAATACGCCAGCTGGGAACTTTCAGGGGGTATATGGTGGTATTTTGAAGTGAATAAGGTGACTGCAGGATAATTATTCATTTCAACTCAATCTGTGACCACCATTTCATAGCCAGCCATGGACTCAAAGACCTGGAATGTCATCACTGATGCTTATTAAATGGAAATAACAAGACTATTGTTTTACTAGATTCTGGATGCCCCTCAAAACACTCACATTACGCATGAAACAATTTAAGGCGTGGCTTCATCGAAGCAGGACACATAAAGGAATGCTGCTTCTCGAGGCAAGATGCCACACTGGACCCTGTTATATCATGCTTTAATGAAACATTAATGTCCAAATTCATTGACTTTGATTCTAAAATGACCATTTTATTACTGGCTATAAGTAAGTATAGGTAGGTATTACTTGTGTTGGTCGCTCGTCGCTCCGAGTTTAAAATTCAGATTCAACGAAATAGTAGCCATTGCTTTGTTTATTTCATTTTGAACTAACAAAGATAAATCATATCATAATAAACACATGCAGCCAGATTCATAATAAGCACAATTATAAACTGCATATATGATTGATCGGTAAAGGTTTTCCCGTGAGGTTGCATGTGAAAAAGGGAAGCAACTCTTGCTATCTTCGAAGTCAAGTCATCCCACGATCGTGGTCGAAGCGTGTCAGACACATGCTCTATCGTTGTATAGTGAATTTTTACGAGATAGCGACACAGGCTGGTTGAGTCTGAGGGCCCTTCGTTCAAGTACCCACTATCAATACCAGATCACATTGTTCTGGCACGACATTATCCAGCCAATACCTTCAAACTAGCAAAAGGCACAAGTACTCATTGTGGTGAATATGTGTAGCAAGTTTGGTGAAGCTAGGGTGCATGGTAAAAAAGTTTTGGGCCGTACAAAAGTTCGGACAGAAGGACGGACGGACGGAACGCTATATACCCCCGATTTACTTCGTAAACGGGGGTATAATAATATACTAAAAATACTACAAGATCGGCCCCTTATTAATCTGTCATACAAACCCTGGTACAAATTTATCCAATACAGGCCATGCAAGTCTATAATGTTTGGCAAGTCTAGATTACAGCAGTATCAGGAAAATCTGAAAATGAAGAGTCTCTTGGCTCCTTTTTATTACATTTTTATTAAGGTAATTTAACAACTGATTTTTCTATAAGATATGTTCAGTTCAGAGACAAGATGTTAATGAGTCCCTCTTGGACTGCGTGACTGTTAATACGTCATGGCGCCCTGGTGCGGAGCGTTGACCATACTATCAACCACTGATTTGCCTTTCTGACTACTGGTTATAGCGACGTTAATCGACATTCCGACTATATGATCAAGCGATAGTTAGGTGTGGTGTGTTCTTATCCCCTATGGCCCGAGAAGATCCGGGATAAGATTCGTGTATCAGATCATTATCCTTTGACCTCAACATGTCATGGCGACATATTTCTCACTGAGGATAAGACCCGTGAATATCCGGGGTAGCACAGGTCTTCAGCAACCCATGCTTGCCGTAAAAGGTGACTATGCTTGCCGTGAGATAAGAGGCGACTAACGGGACGGGTGGTAAGGCTTGCTGACTTGGTTGATGCATGTCATCGTATCCCAATTGCGTGGATCGATGCTCATGATGTGTTTCACTGGATTGTCTGGTCCAGACTCGATTATTTACAGACCGCCGTCATATAGCTGGAATATTGCTGATTGCGGCGTTAAACAACAACAAACAAACAAATCTTACCCCCTCTTGGCGAAGCCACCGGAACTGGTCGAGGGTGGGGAAATCCGTTGAGTTGAACAGCCCTGTCCAGACGCCGTAGGGGTCTCCCCCTAGGGGACTCACCGAGTACATCATCAGCCGCAGGTCTCCATGGGAACAGAACAACAATGTCATACAGGTCGTTTACCAAGGGTCGAGGTCACGACGGGGCTCGTAGGGCCCACTAGTCTAAGGCGCCACAATTCTCTGCGCAGAGTTGCGTCCCTTTGGCGTGCCAGTAACCTAAGATCGTGGGTCAGACTCTCGGTTCGCCCCGATTATGTTTATAGATTTGTCAACACCATATCCGTCGTTGTAGGTTTCACCATGTGGTAAACCTTGATCACTTCGGGCTTTCCCAGGTCATTAAGCTGACACGCCGTGCTATAACTGGAATATTGTTTAAAGTCCCTTACTCACTCTTGATGATGTCCCACTAAATATTAGTCATTACATTGTCTCATTCTTCGTTATTTTAAGACAAATTAATCAAGCAATTGCTCTCTAGCCAAACTAAACATAGAACCAATGTAAAGGAATCATTGATTTACAGATTGGTCGATATTCTAACGCATACAAATCCGTTTGTCGACACAGATTATAAGGGAGCTTAATGCCGCTTCGATGAGTATCGTGGTAGCAAGGAGAGTCACACATTAAAGGTTTTCTCCCCTCTTGTACAATTCTAATGGGTGAGGAAAACTAAACAACAATTACCAGGTAGATATTAAAAATGTGAATTTAAAAATAAATCATTTTCTATTTATAGAAAGTGATGGGTCTCATGCATGGTCTTTCTAAGCATCAATCCATTTGAAATCTTTAAAGAAAGGCAGCACATTTTTAGTGATTAGCCTTCAAACTACAATGTGATGAATAAGAAGATGATCATAGGTACTGATGCCTTTGGGTATATGTATCAACTTATCAGAGAGAATATAGGGTAATTATTATGCAATCGTCAAAAACGACAAGTTCCGAATGTAGATAAATAGGAACGCATCATGATATTGTTGTGTATATTTTCACACTCTGTCGTTTCTGAGCGCCATTACATCCACACCCTCTGAAGAATATTTGTGTTCTGTGTGGATATTCATATGTACAAATCTGTAAATAGTAATGACATAAAGCCGTATCGTTTAAAAAAGCTGCCATCTGTTTGGCTCAAGAAACACGGTCGTTCATCCTATTTTGAGAGGTATCGTATCGGAGTAAAATATGCGATTTGAATGAAATTGGTTTATATGTATAGTATGCGCTAGCATCGATTAACTGACAGCCTACAGGTCTCATACATGCTCTGCGCATGTCACTGGTACCTTCATTGTCAGAGGGTGGTCGGATGTTCCAGGTGAGGTCGAGGAGGCCCCAGTCTTTGCCATGTCCGATATCACAGCTGTTGTAGACGAAGAACGCCGACTGCCAGCTAAAACATCACGTCGAAAACAAAGACGCCCGCTAACGTCACGCAATACTTCAATAGTGCATCATGTCAAACAATAACCCAATAGTGCATCACGTCACACAAAATAAGCAAACACAAGTTTTAACCTGATGACGCTCACACAAAAAATAATCAAGTTTCTATTATTCTCGACATTAATTGATTAATTTGTATAATGGACGTTGTGGACAACGACGAGAACTTTGCAAATCGTGTAGTAGTCATATAGCAAACTACAGCAGAGTACAACAGTTTCATTAAGTAAATGGACTGAGGTGATTTATCAAGTCGGCCACAGATAACGAGGGTATTGTGAAGGATTGCACTGGTAAATCCGAGAGACATATCTACAGAACGGGAGCTGCCGATGTCTGGAGACTCACCAATCAGAGGACGTATCATCTTCTGGCTCGTGCAGCGTGGCCACGCCGCCATAGTGAGACAAGTTGGAGACGGGGCCGCCGGCCATTGCTGGGGTGGAATAATATGGTTATACATGTACAGGGTTAATTAAAGAGTATCGCGGTCGTTATGCCACCTGTATTCAAGCGTCCAAGCAACATTTTACTATATCCGTACCTTTTCGTTCATATGGGACCCACTATTTAATAGCATGGGAAGGGAAAGATGTGTGTGGGATTTTTGCAGAGACAGGATAATATTTTGGTCTTTGTTTCAAAACACGCAATGTACTTTCATGAAGAGAGCCGAACATTTTAATTTTATTTCACCAACAGTTTTTTAGGACATCCATCATATCCGAAAACAAATAACACAGTAAAATACTGTGAAAAATAAAGTACAAATGATGTGTTTTTCTTCTGATTTTTAACTCGACCAGATTATTTTGTTTTTAAATCCTAAGCACCAAGGCACGCAGACAAGTCTTGTCTAATAATCCCGTCTGAAGTAACACAACAAAGGGACACAACGAACATAAAATAAAATTTAAAAAATGATATAAAATAATGGTACAGAAACAAAATAGCATTTAACAAGAAGTTTGGTTATCGATGTCCGTATTGACAGATCCTTCCCAAAAGGAAATTCTCTGTTCTGTTATAGTCAGCGGTAGACCCAGCGGTGGGACCGCAATGCTTGCACAACTTTAACTTTTTAGAACTTATTCAAAAATTCGGCATCCAAAGTGTGAATATAATATAAACAATGAAAGCGTTAGCCTAGTGCTGAGATTACTTACTCCTTGCTTCAAGATGAACCTGCTTGTCTCCCAGGAAGGACAAGGCTACCATTGTCGCATAAATGGGTTTAGGTATAAACGTCACGTATGGTGATTTTGTGTTGTTCATTTGAAATCTCGCCAACAGGGTGCGCTGCGTGAACTGGTGTGGATAGTAACTAAGGAAGCCGTTGTCGTTGCTAAGGAGTGAATACTTCAATCCAGCGCTGGCATTTGCTCTGAAGATATTTTGGTGCTGCCCAATTATCTGTAAGACGGACGACGGACATGGTAGCACAGTATTAAGCATCTTCATTGCTGCCAATGGACGGGGGTAGCATAGTGGTTGAAGCATTTGATCGTCACGCCAAAGGCCCTGGTTCGATTCCAGATTATTGCTTACAGTGGCATAAATCATTACTTATTCCCTCATTTACTGACTGAGTGAGTGAGTGAGTATTGTATTACGCGGCTTTTAGCAATGTTCCAGCGGGGGACACCAGCAATGGGCTTCACACATTGTACCCATGTCGGGAATAGAACCCGGGTCTTTGAGGTGGCGGGATAGCCTGGTAGCGTTCGCTCGCTGATGTCTAGAACCTGAATATATGTTGTTGTAGTTATCGTACATCTCGGAATCGAACCCGGGTCTTCGCTCGGCGTGACGAGCAAACACTTTAACCACTAGGCTATTCCATCCCCCTCCACCAGCACCCCCACCCCCACCCCTACCACCCCCAACCCTACACCACATGCAATGGTCTCAGTGTAATTTCTAATTGCAGAACGGCATTTCGCCCATATCCAACATTGAAATTGACACTAAACATAAGTACCTGACCCACGTACCTGCGAGTGATGGATACAAATAGGCCAACGTTTGCAAAGGGTAGCGTGTCTTTGACATAATGTCTCGCATATACCAGTACATGTTCAGATTATTCGGATATATACTGGACACACGATCGAATACCATTTGACGCCATGTCTAAATGTACTTTGGCTATGCATTCCCTTCCATTTTTTCTTTAGTATTTTTCCTTGGGCACGCCAGAAACCTATGATTGTGGGTTCGAATCCCGGTTCGCCCCGATTATGTTTCTAGGTTTGTCAGCACCATACCCGTGCTCGTGGGTTTCACCGAAATGGTAAACGTCTGAGACCTGCATCACTTCGGGCTTTCCTCCCACATTAAGCTGACACGCCGCGATATAACTGGTTACTGTTAAAAGCGACGTTAAACCCAACTCACTCACTCACTCACTCTTTAGTATTTTATGCGAGTTTTTCAACATTTGAAATTTCAGATTCTAAAAGAACCCTGGCCTACCTTTGCAGCAATGGCGGCATACCCCGCGGTCGCCCTCCACGTTTCATCCTTGTTCCAGCCCCCGAGTGGGTCGGCCTCACTGGAAACAGAAACGTCATCACCAGATAGCATCACTGCTCTATTGGGGCGTTTAAAGACGTATTCAAGTGTTGCGTGTCACCTTTTTCGAGCTTCGACAGATATTAAATGTTTAAACACCGACATCGATGTTGTCCTGTTTAAGAAAATCAGTGGTAACATGTCCTATCGCAGGAGACCTTCCACTGATAAATTATGGAACAATTTCTTTAATTATAAAATGTTAGCCTTCTTAATTATTTACATGCATTTCTTTGTATCCATTATTATTATTATTATTATTGTTGTTTGAATGTCCACTGTATAGGCTTATGACCATGCATGGCAACTTTATAAATAATCATTCTTAGGTGAAATTGGCATTTGTACATGAATGACATCTGCATATATACTCGTTCTCGTGTTAAATTGGCATATGTCCATGCATGACAGCTGCGTCTAGGTGTTGTATCATTGTAGAGGCGTATTTACTCGTTATAGAAGGGCTTGTTCACCAGACTCGGATATTTCTGGCGAAGGTGGGAATATATGTCCCACTCACCATCCACGATGTTCTTCGCCATTTCGAGACCCTGTAGGGAAAGACGATACCATGACAGGAGTGAGTGAGTGAGTGAGTGAGGTTAAACCCGCTTTTAGCCATATTTTAAGCAATATCACGGCGGGGGATACCAGAAATGGGTTCACACATTGTACCCATGTCGGGAATCGAACCTGGGTCTTCGGCGTGACGAGCGAACGCTTTAACCACTAGGCTACCCGACCGCCCGTGACAGGAGGAAAATAACAAACAAGACAAGGTCGTGTAGGGGAAGACGGAAATACAGATTATTTGGATCTAGTTGACATGATGAGATGTTCTCACTATTTCCAAGTTTCACCAGAGGTGAAGTGAGGTGAAATGGGGTTTAACGTCGCGTCCAAGATTATTGCACTTATATAGCGACGTCCATGTACGTGTGTGTGTTTGTGTGGCTGCTTGTACTAGTCCGGACTGATGCCGATTTATAGTGCTAGCTCACTGAGATACCATGCCGCAGTTTAACATGAATACCCCACTCAGACACAGTATACTGACTCCGAGCCGACCAGTCCTTGTTTTAGCCCCTTAATGCCGAGCGCCAGACAGGGTAACAACAAGTACCATCTTATAACGTCTTTTGTTATGACGCGGCCGGGGATCGAACCCCGGACCTTCCGCTCTCCGGGCGGACGCTCTACCACTTGACCACGGAGGCGGTCCCAAGTTTCACCAGAATCAGGGTCGTTTGCTCTGAAGCTGTTCTTCCCTGCCTAACTTTGCCACCGTTTGTCTTTTTCACATTCGTGATGATATTGGTTGGCGGATTCGTAAACCAAGTAATAATAATAAGAAGAATAAGAATAAGAATAATAATAATAATGATGATGATGAAGATGATAATAATAATAACAATGAAGCAGCGACCCAACACTTTCATATCCAATAGAAATATCAGCATAAGGTAGAGTCGATTGTACAATTCCGACTTTGTCATGAGCATGTGTTTATGAATCACTGTTTATGAATCACTGTCAAATAGCAAGGATACCAGGTGTATCCTGCCCCACCGGTGGCACTCGTCAGAAACACATGCAAAGGCAAATGAAACGCTCATCGCTGACAACGTACCTTTCTGTGCATCGAGATGAAGTCAAGTCTTATACCCGTCTCTCCAGTGAAGTAGTTAGTACCGGAAGTGACGTGTTCGAACAATGCGTCTCTGTAAGTGTCGGTCTTGTTGGTGTCACATAAGTCTCCAGGCCCGCCGAAGATCAGCGATTGGCTGGCAGCTTTCAATCCTTCCGAGCATGCGTCATAGTAGTTCAAGTAACCTTTTCAGAAAATCAGAGCATATCAAAGACATCCCATAATTTCACCTCAAAGACAATTATAGTGCAATTATTAACACACGAATACCGTTATGACCGCCAGAAACTAGCTAGCTTGAATAGGTCTTCAGCAACCGATGCTTGCCGTAAAAGGCGACTATGGTTATCATAAGAGGCGACTAACGGGATCGGGTGGTCCGGCTAGCTGACTTGGTTGATACATGTCATCGTATCCCAACTGCGTGGACCGATGCTCATGATGTCAATCACTGGATTGTTTGGTCCAGATTCAATTACTTAGAGACCGCCGTCCTATAGCTGGATTATTGCTGAGTGCGGCGTTAAACAACAAACAAACAACAAAACAGTATATGTCCACATTGCCTTGTCACGCACCTTGTTTTGTCATCAGCTCATTGAAGTGTCCACAGTCTGGTTCGTTCCATGACTCAAAGTTCCACGTCTTCACATATTCCAGTCCATATATACCTGCAAAAATATTGGCACCACAAGAAGGAATTTATCAGTATCCCATGTACTAAAGTACTCACGGAAATGAAAAAACCCTGTTTCTCAGATTTTTAATACAGCGTATCAAAGGTTTTTATGTCTTTTTACACGTAAAAGTGTGTAAAAATATGAACAAAACAGACTTTTGTGAAACTGAGCATAACTAGGTGTTAGTAGATCAAGGTGAATGTCCATGACCTATGACACCTTGACGACAGGTGAAAACAGGTGCTTGAAACCCACGAGCATGTGATTTGTCAGTGGTTAGTGATTTGTGAGTGGCATTGTGGGATAGTGAATCATCGTCAAAATATCAGAACGTAAAAGTAACATATTCCCTTCTTAAACAACAACTTACATGTCATTATTATTATGTACATAAACATAGCTGTTATTTTTATTGTTGTTTTGATAACTTTTTTCCAGGCTAATTTGCATAATGCCTATAGCCTGTTTCTGCCATGTCAATTTGGACTTAGTTTTATTTTTGAATGTTGAAAGTGCCTACAAATTACCTCCTGTAAAGTACATTTTGTATTGAACACTGAGATAAAACTAGCAAATCCAGACTAGTACTTTTCCAGTTGTTTTGTTATTTCGTATTTACATCTACGTAATGCTTTGTGTCGATTATTAAATCCAGCAAAACAGGTTTTTTTCATTTCCATGAGTACTTTAGAGATTACAGCACGAGTGTCTGTCAGATACCATTTATCCGCCAACGAGTTGTGTTAAAAAGCATCGCGAAAGCGAGTCAGGTTTGAGTTGTACGATAAAACTTTCTGAAAAGGAAAAATTACAATTATTAAAACATATCACTTTCTCGTCTTGTGGTTTCGCAATCTTATTAAAATCAGATTTATGTTTTCGCTGCCGCTAAACAAAGATCTTAGAACATCCCATTACGGGTCACGTCAGGACGACCTTTCGCGAACTTTGACCGACGACTGAAATGATACCAGCCAATTAGAAAGCAGCTTTCTCGAGCTTTACGGCACTCGTTTCAACCTCATTTCAGCGAATTCCATTTCTGTCTACGCTTGACAAAAATATTGACACAGTTCTCGATTAATATTTGGAAAACTGAACAAACGAACATTCCGGAGTGTCCAATATATGGCTGAGAGTGTATGGCAGTGCTTCCTATGTACTGTACAACGCGTCCTCCGTTCAAATGTTTATCCCTCGGAACCGAGAGATAGACGATACTTTTGACGGAATCAGTCGTACGGGTCGTAACTGTCGTTCGGAATACCCCGTGTTAACGTTTTCGAGGTTGCATGATTAGGAAATACATTCCGACTGTCACTTTCATGATCTGGTAAGCGACGGTTTGATTGGTCGGATGAAAGGTCGTTCTGACTTGACCCGTAATGGGACGTCCTCAGATCTTTGTTAAGCGATAGCGAGAACTAGGATCTGATTTTAATGAGATTGGTGGTTTCGCTTTATCGCTTTCTCGCGGCCGTAATTGAAGATGAGAAAGCGATGTCCCCTCTCGGCCACCCGACAAACCAGATAGGATTCAAGAACCTTTATCAACACTTCAAACGTTTCGGCTCAGACGGAGGAGAATTCGACTGAAGCATGATTAACCCATCAATGAATCACAATCAGAAAGGTCACCATCTGACCTCACGTCATCATCGTGGAGGAGCCAATCACTGGAATCCGATCTCACACCAATCTCATTAAAATCAGATCTTAGTTCTCGCTACCACTAAACAAAGCTTTGTTTAGCGGTAGCGAGAACTAAGATCTGATTTTAATGAGATTGATCTCACACACATTTGATACCAATTATCTCTAATGGGTTTTCCGCCCACAGATGTGAAAGAATATGAATTCTTTGGATTGGACTGACTGCATTTCCAACTACAGCATAAAAAGCTATACCAAGCATCAACTGATAGCTTCATCGCCAGACTTGAGACCGAAACAGCTACTATAACTATGTGATTTACTGAACTGAAAACTGTTATCTGACATGTTTTGTTGTGTCGTTACAACTAGTTATATTCTTCTTTTACGACATTTTAGCATATTAAAATATTGACACCCAATGTCATTTAGAAAGTGGTCAAATGTACAGATTCTCGTACTTTTGGGGGTTGATACCCATCCCGGATTCGAACCCTCACTGCCATAGTGAGGCACCTAATCTCCAGCGATCTAACCCACTCAGCCACCTAGGCTTCGACAACTGGTAGTCTAGATCACGTACTTTGTGTACCCCTCCCGGACGGTGTACTGAGTCTTGTACTTTACTGAGAAAGTGTTATCCCAAATGTAACATCTGTTAAATATTAAAATACACAGTAACGTTCTTATTGATATTTTACAATAACGTGATATTTTCCCGTTTACGATAGTTTTTAAAAATATTTTCACGCTAAATAAAATACTCGTCAGACCACACAGACCTATGTATCTGGTTGCTATATGCCGGACGAGGTCTCGCCACTGGTACACCTGCGTCTTGTTCTCCATGTCGGTGAAGAAGGCGGAGGGGTTGCCCATGATCTCAAACCCAGGCCTCAGACCGTTCACGTGGAGCAGCTCCATCACGGCGTCCAAGTGGCTGAAGTTGTAGGCCGGGCTCCCAGCTGAAACACTGTATGTATAGGAGGAAGTAAGATTTCAACGCACGGCGATACGTCAACCATTTAGTCTCGAAACACTGAGAGTGAAGCCTGTGTCCTAAGTTCACACACAGTTCTACCAAAATCAGTGTTTCACAATCTGAAATAGTGATAACAGTGGCAACATGTGTCCATATTAAAACTCTATCATACGCCTAATAATGTCAGTGTCTTCATGGGCTGTAGGGGCGGTCGGGTAGCCTAGTGGTTAATGCGTTCGCTCGTCACGCCGAAGACCCGGGTTCGATTCCCGACATGGGTACAATGTGTGAAGCCCATTTCTGGTGTCCCCCGCCGTGATATTGCTGGAATATTGCTAAAAGCGGCGTAAAACCATACTCACTCAGTCACTCATGGGCTGTATCATGGGAAACAGACGAGGGAGACTGAAGAGTCGCGTCCTTTTGGAGAGGTGGAAACTATATGTCTGTACTATACAGTATATATTCGCCCTGTTTCTAGGTTTGTCAGAACAAAACCGTTGGTCATGCGTTTTACCAGCGTGGATTGTTTGTTGTTTGTCTGTTGTTTAACGCCGTACTCAGCAATATTCCAGCTATATGACGGCGGTCTGTAAATAATCGAGTCTGGACCAGATAATCCAGTGATTGACATCATGAGTATCGATCCACACATTTAGGACACGATGACATGCATCAACCAAGTCAGCGAGCCTGACCACTCGATCCAGTTAGTCGCCTTTTACGACAAGCATGGGTTGCTGAAGAGCTATTCAAACCTGGATCTTCAAGGGTCGGTAACGACTGCCACCGCTTCGTTGGTGAGATTTGCGTCTCCAATGTGTGCCAGATCGTGAGTTCGAATCTCGCAATGATTGTGTTTCTAGGTTTGTCAGCATTTATACCCCACATCCGTCTTCGTTCGCTATGGGTGGGGGTTCCAATCCCGGTTTTCCCCGATTGTGTTTTTAGGTTTGTAAGCACCATACCCATACTCGTGGGTTTCACCAAAGTGGTAAACGTCTGAGACCTGCGTCACTTCGGGCTTTCCTCCCAGCTCAAGCTCACACGCCGTGACACTGGAATCTGGAATACTGGAATACTGTTCACAGCGGCGTGTAATCAAACTCGCTCACATTAACCCCAGGAGGAACTTGAGTGGTGTCGCAGTCGGATCCAGGTTTTTAAAATGGGGGGGGGGGGGGGGGGGGGGTACAATGCGAACTTACATACAGAGTGTCTGGAAAATGGGGTTGCGTCTACGAAACTGGGATAAAATCGTTTGCGCAAGTGTATTGTCATAGCGACTGATTTACGACTACCATTGTCTGAAGTACATTTGACTCCAAAGGCAAATTACCCTGTAGCCATGTCTCCATAACTTAATTGTCATTACGTTTTAGGCGCTAATCCCCGTTGTTAATCCTCACCAACATTTCATTGTATATTGACTGACAGCCAACCTGGGCTACTTTATCACTTCCCGTTAATTACTGTTATTTATAGTATGACATTTTTTGCCTTAATTGTTCATCCCCTGAGTTGTGTCGGTACGTCACCCCCGGAAGTCCAATGTCCAGAGCAACGTTATTGTATTTCCATTGTTCAGTACTATATATGTGCTACCATTACACAGTTACTACGGTGTTAGTCAGGCTTGGTATTCCGAGTGCTGGCATAGGGACGACCTCGAGCAGGATGTGCCGCTCGTAGGAAACGCCCTGAGGTGAGCTGGAGCTCCGCTCACCTCTTGTACGCCTGAGCTGGAAGGTCCGCTCATTGCTGTGTTTGTGTTGTCAGAGCAGGTATTCCGCTCATTGTGCAATTGTTGTTTATTGTTAACATGTTGTGCATAAAGCGTTCCTGGACAGTGATGTCGATTTTATCCTTCTTTCCCCCAAGGGCTAATTCCCCGTCAACACAGGCGCGTTGACAGTATTAATGTAGAAGGGGAGTATGCAGAAAAATGAATATTGTTAATGTCTTAAGACCACGTTCGGTATGTAAGACTCATATCGATCACAATAAGGTTGTTCCACCCACCTCTGTACCGTGATAAGCTCCAGAAGCCAGTGTACCCTGACCTGCTCTATGGCCCTGTGGGGCAGCGCTCCGATGAAGGCCAGATTCTGCCGCATGTCTGAGCTCAGCATGTAGTCAGCTGCCTTCTCGTGTGGATCTGGGGGACTGATTTCAGTATACATGCTACATGTAGTTAAATGGTGGGGTAGTCTAGTGGTTAAAGCGTTCGCTCGTCACGCCGAAGACCCGGGTTCGATTCCCAAAATGGGTACAATGTACGAAGCCGGAAGTAACCTTTAGTAACCACAAACCATAGGTCGATGGGATGAGCACCGACGACACATTGACACACGGTCACCGACGTCACTGTCGTCCCCTCCCAATCGGTTCTTTCATCATTCACACCAAAGAAAATATTTGCGTCACTGTTGACATAAGTACAATATGACAAATTATTGAATATTACATTGACAGGTGAGTATCTCACCAGAAGCCAGTGCTTCCCCAGAAATGGTCCAGAGGTCCGACAGCATCCCAGGAGTTGAAGTTGAAGTTAAAATCCCCCGCCTCCTCCACACAGTCGGATTGAGTCGCCTTCAGCAGAGACAGCAACACCAGAAAAAAGACAGCCGCCATGTTGAAATTGACGGACCAGTCTGTAAACTGTGTCAAATGTCTTATCTTACAGGCAAGTAAGTGGATGTGTTGGGTGTTCGCTGAGTGATTACACAGTCAACATACTAAATAACACCAGTTGGATATAATTTATGCTGTTTAGATATGTTGCACGTGAGAGAAAGGTGTAGCGTGCACGGGCATTGTGGAGGGTTATTTGATCAGGTATAGTAATTTGCGGTATACAGCTTCATGTTTGTTTGTTGTTAAACGACTCCCTCAACAACATCCCCGCTACATGACGACGGTGTCATATGTGAAAATGCGTAACGGGATATAGACCAGTGTATGTGTCGAATTAAAGTTTAGTGATCAGGTTCATTGAAGGAAAGCTTAAGCATTGTCTGACATTTAATCCCAGAAATAGAGTTATCATATTTTAAAATATTTATCTACTACGAAATAAAAATATAAAATCCAAATGGAGCCAAGGACAATACCTAGTGTCCTCGAAATCTAGACTTGCCAAATCATTCTAGACTTGAGTTGGACTCCTTTCATAATACCTTCTCTTGGGTCTGGGAGACAGAAGGTACACAGTTCATAACTAGGTCGGCCGTGTAGAGAAAACAACTTAGACAACACTGGCTACCACGGGACTCAGAAACGCCGACACTTATCTACCATATGTTCAAGGAATCTAAAAGAACGCTGATATAACAACCGATAAACGCTGGGAGGCTTCGATGTAAAACTGGCGCATAGCACAGTTATCTGTGTTTATTGTTTAATGCCGCACACGGCAATATTCCAGCTATATGACGGCAGTATGTAAATAATCGAGTCTGGACCAGACAATCCAGTGTTTGACATCATGAGCATCGATCCACGCAAATGAGATACGATGACATGCATCAACCAAGTCAGCGAGCCTGACCACCCGATCCCGTTAGTCGCCTCTTACGACACGCATATAGTCGCCTTTTACGGCAATAACGGGTTGCTGAAGACCTAAGCACGGTTATCTGCACTGGTCCGTTGTCTGTGAATATCTTGCGAAAATTGCGACAAATATTTCGTCTTGTATAATTAGTATTCCAATGCTGTTTCAAATGTTTGTTCCGCTACACTATAAGTCTATGATCCATCTAATTTTAACAAGATGCTTCTCTTCAGTGCATATCATACTACTTAAAAGAAGTTAAAGAAAACCCTATTCTTTCATATTGCTGTTGTTAATATGTCATGAAAGAATCGGAAGTTCTTTATATTCTTTGAGTAGTATATTAACGATCACCCTTTGTAGTGATAGTTCCGGCTTGTCTCAGTATTTCGCGACTTTCTGTTTCCACGTTCAGAAACAAACACACCATCAAAGTTTTCGAGGAGGTGGCCGCCATTTTGGATCGCCATTTTGTATGTTCCTGTACCTTAGTACATTTACATAAACAGTCCAAGCTTTTATTTAACTATTTTTTTAGTTTGCTTTTTGTGCATTTAATATTTGTTTGGCGTTGAAAAGGAAACAGCCCGGTGGGCCTAAATGAAGACACAACTATTTTTGGAGATTCAGTTGTACTCTTAGAAAGCCGTTTTAATAGTTAAAATCGATATTGTTATTTCTTTTACACGTTGAAGTCGATAACGTACAATGACAAACACCATGCTGCTGTGCAGTGCAGTTAGTGCTTATTGACATATTTCAATGTAGCATTACAACAGAGAGACAATATTTCGAGTCATTGTGGTATTCACATTCAGTGAGACAGAACAATAGCGTAATAGGCTATCTATACTGACTGATTTACACAATGGAATACAAAGCAACATTTAGGCAGAACACTACTGGATATTGATAACACCACAACATCAATAATAATAATAATAATAATAATAACAACAACGATAATAATAATAATAATAATAATAATAATAATAATGGATATATAAAGCGCTTCACTTCCAACCTGGGCCTAGGTTTTCGAAACGATCGTAGCCCTAAAATTATCGTAAATTTATCGTAAGGAAATCGTAGGCCATCGTAGCATATTTTCGGAACTATCGTAGCTCTAAGATATCTTAAGATTGTCGTAAATCTAAGATAGCCCCATACCTGTCGTAAGTTTATTTTATCTTCATCCAAGATGGCGGCATTCTTTTCCATAGATATTTTGCCAAACAATAAGTCTGCTTTATGTTTAAACATTGACATTTCATTTTGTAAAACTGAGTGATTCAAATTGACACTTCGAAAACACGAAGAAAGCATCAAGGATTTCACGTCAAAAATGTTCTTAATCGCGACAGCGATCCACATAACTGTGGAGTCGATAGCTTACAATATTTTACTATCCGAGTCCATGCTGAAGAAGTGTAAAACAACATACCTTTTCGATAAATTGGGAAGGATAAAAACGGAAGGTGTCGGCAGGCAACAGCAATGACCGTGACCTTATTGATAACTCAGGGGGAGCTAATCTTAGTTCAAACTCTAGTTGAGAGTGGTTTCCCTTTGTATTCGCCCGGGACACCTTGCTCTATGTTACAGTTTTCATAAAGCGCAGAGTTCCGCTGTTATATTTTCTGGATCGCATTTGTGTCAATGCTTTAGTCTTTATTTCGCATTTTATAAAATTATATGACTCTACATATGTAAAAAAAACCCATAAAGGTTTCGCATAAGTTTTTTACATCTAAAATCGTTTGGGACGGGTGGTTTTAATAATTGAATTTTAACTATACAGTGTAGTATTTATTTACTTAACAAGGAAATACATGTGGTCAAATATTTCTATACAATATTCAATATTTTTCTTGCAAAAGTAATTGTAATTTGTTTCGTTTTAAATTCAATACCCATGTTATCTATATCCTCTTGAGTCTGTTGAACAATTGCGTTCTTTAAAAACAGGTCCAAAATTCACTTTCCAATATATGTTCGCAGAAAATAAGTTTATTGAATGAAATTTACTGATCAATATAAAATACACATTTTCAACACAATAATCTTTGCATTCAATAAACCGGTTTTAAAATATTTTGGTCTTTTTAATATTTAAGACTACATCTTCCCGTTTTATGTTTAAATTATATCTATATATATACTTGAGATCATTCAGACAATAAAATCGTTGTATAGGGTCTTCGGAAAAATACTAGTAAATGATCCTCAGCAATTCCTTCAGACAAGCCAAACATCATTGAACTACATTCTGGAATAGATTTGACACATTACAAAGTATTTCCCTCCTCAGCCAGATTTAAATGAAATCAGACAAATCAGTTTATTAGCTCTACTTAATTTAAAAGGATAGAAAATGACTACATATGTATGTTCACGTTAACTTGTGGCGTTCCATGAGACAACATAACTTGACAATTCCTAAATTATCTCACTTTGCGAACGAAAATTAGAGTCACTTTTAAATTTTGAAAATAATTATGGATCTAGATAGATAAAAAAATAATTTCATCATCTAAATACTAATAGCTTGATATTGAATTTAAGTCCTTGGTTAATTCGTGAAATATATTGAATACATAAGTAACAAAACAAACTTAACAAGCTTAGATTGTTATAAAAACCTGCTTGTGGGTGCGCTGCTTCCTGAACAATTTTTGTTTTGAGTGTTTCCACGTATAATGTTGGTGTTTACGCTAATATAAACTTGACTTTTGACATATGTTTTCGCACATTATTTCAATTCTAATAGATAGAGTGTGGTAACACTACACTTATTGATTATAACATTTATTGGGTTTGAAAAATGCTATTGCATGGCACACGAATGCTATTTGTGTTCGGGTAGTCATGGTATCTTTAATCATAAGAACAAAACGTCTACATGTAGGATTGTACAGAATTTCACTCAAATATGTGCATGTTTAACAATGTGACCTGACAATGTGATCATGAATTCCCTGTTACTTATCTATGTTGTTGTTATTGTCAGCAGCTTGGAAATCCCCGTGACGTCATTGGGAAACACCCCGCTTTTTCAATCTCTAACACAAATGAGTTCCTTGTCAGACTTACGATAAGTATCGTAACTCTGAACGATCTGCGACAGGTTTACGATAGTTTCGAAAATCTATCTTATCTTAACCTTAAGATATCTTATCTTTAAACGTAAGTTGTTAAGATTTATCTTAGCTAAGATCGTTTCGAAAATCTAGGCCCTGGAGAGCAAGTCAGCGGCCATACACAATACACATTAGCCCGCACATAGGCTCAGTGTACACCCCAATCTCATTTTCAGCTCCCTGGGGAGAATACAGCACAAGCTGCCTGAGGAGACTGTGCTTCAGAGTGGGGCACAACCAAAGCCATGGAAACTCACAGGAGTCAATCTTTCTGATCACGGTCCCCCATTAAGCTATTGCTCCCCACCCCGCGGAACTTCGCCTTATTTATGATCTGTGTGCTGTACAGAGGACCATTTGGTATCAATATATACACCCATAAGAGTACCACGTCGGACTTCAAAACACTGAATTTAAAAAAAATAATTCTGAAAATGCTTGATATGCCATATGTTCTAAAAAATGTGTCTGTCCAACCAAAATGGCAGGATCAAGTTTCCCGAAGTGTTGCCAGAAAATAGATGTAAAATTAAATATAGCGTCTTCGGCCTTATTTAGCGGCGGTGGGGTAGCCTTGTGGTTAAAGTGTTGGCTCGACAAGCCAACGACCTGGCTTCGAATCCTCACATGGGTACAATGTGTGAAGCCATTTCTGGTGTCCCCTGCTGTGACATTGCTGGAATATTTCTAAAAGCGGCGTAAAAACATACTCACTCACACTCCTTAACGAGTGACCGAGAAAGTGTCGTTGATAGGCATTACACGTTTGTTAATGTTTCACGTGGCTGCTGTGTCGATGACGAAAACATAGCTGAGCTACTTCATTGTTCCCGCGTGATGTCATAGCAGAAACGACCGCCTCCGTGGTCTAGTGGTAGAGCGTCCGCCCGCCTGGAGAGCGGAAGGTCCAGGGTTCAATCCCCGGCCGCGTCATACCAAAAGACGTTAAAAGATGGTACTTGTTGTTACCCTATCTGGCGCTCGGCATTAAGGGGTTAAAGCAAGGATTGGTCGGCTCGGAGTCAGTATACTGTGTCTGAGTGGGGTATTCATGTTAAACTGCGACATGGTATCTCAGTGAGCTAGCCCTATCAATCGGCATCAGTCCGGTCTAGTACAAGCAGCCACACACACACACACACGTGAATGTACGTCGCTATATAAGTGCAATAATCTTCGACGCGACGTTAAACCCAATTTCACCTCACCTCACCTTATCGCAGACACATACAACGGATATATTATTTAGGTGTTTTGAACAGTTTCAACCAGGGGACAATGAGACTTATGTCAAAAACAGATCACTAAACTATTGACTCAAGACATAATCGTTCATACAAATATTAGGACATTCGATTACGAGTTCTGTGAAGGAGAACTACACATAATTAACTGTTGGCCCGAAGTCAAGGTCCATCACTCAACGGCATACATGTTTCAGATGGGGCGGTGACGGTGTAAATATCCAGATACAGACATTGTAATGTGTGTATTGTGTAATGAGACAGAACCAAAGTCGGGTTTATTAAGGAAGTCATCGACCGATACCTAAAGGCTGGAAGGTCTAAAGAACACGTGACATAAATACTTGACATCATTCCTTTCTGCACACATCGTCATCGTTAGAACTACCAATTAGAACGTATGGGTAGACACATAACCGTAACGCTAAAAATTGCCCGATAATGAAAATAAAAGCAACAAAACGACACTTTCTATAGCCACACCGCTAAAAGCAGAGACGATTGTACGATTCCTTATGTATCGTGAGCATGTGTGTATGAATCACTATCAAATAGCGATGATAGGTGTTCGCGTAATGGCGAGCGTAACGGTGGCACCTGTCACAAACACATGCAAAGGCAAGTCAATTGACAACCTGAAAACAACACAGGAACATAAGGTAGTCAAAATAGGGTATTGCCTCGAAAATAGTTTTGTCACTCATGAGTCAAATTTGGAAATTTACTCCACATGTCTACCATTAAACCTTTTGAAGGCTTTACTGTGAGGCCTTGAAATGTTGTATCCTTGATCAGATTCGTATGACGCTCTTTGAAATCTTCGTTAAAAGAGCATGCTCGATTGTACCTCATGTTGTGAAATGTAGACATCAAAGTCAGGAGCATCGTTTTGTGCCTGAGTAGCGCCTGGAATGAGCGTTGATTACCATTTACTACCAAGTCTTACTGAGACTGTCAATTTCCCCGAGCCTAGCCGACCTTCTGTTAAGTCATTGTCATTAGTAAGCATATTAATATCGTTTAATGGTCGCCTGATTCAATAATGATAATCAACAACCTACAAACCCATTGCATTTGTACCTCTTCCGTTACTTTGACGGGGCGGTCGGGTAGCCTAGTGGTTAAAGCGTTCGCTCGTCACGCCGAAGACCCGGTTTTGATTCCCGACATGGGTACAAAGTGTGAAGCCCATTTCTCGTGTCCCCCGCCGTGATATTGCTGGAATATTGCTAAAAGCGGCGTAAAACCATACTCACTGACTCACTCGTTACATTTTGATGTTTTGTACTTGTGCTAATGTATTACTACGCCCACGTAACTTACCGGTGAGGTGACAATACTAATCTTATGCTGTCACTTAAACATATTAGTTGTACCCTAACTATTTCAAACTATCGTACTTTGTACATGCATTGTATCTCTCGTTGCTGTGGCCTATTTCTTTTCGCGGAGGTTTAATGTCCGACTAAAGGGATGTTCGGGTTATGAAGCAGGACCTGGTTGCTTATCATCATATGCAGACGGCTTGCTTGTGGATTAAATGGCCAAGTCTGCACTATTTAAAGGTCGACCTGCAGCTTAAAACAACATTTACTCACGTATGCACTAGTGAGTGAGTGAGTATGGTTTTACGCCGCTTTTAGCAATATTCCAGCAATATCACGGTGGGGGACACCACAAAAGGGCTTCACACATTGTACCCATGTCGGGAATCGAACCCGGGTCTTTAACCACTAGGCTACCCGACCGCCCCACGTATGCACTACGGGGGCATAATGTTAATGTAATTTAAACAAGCTGGTGCACATATTAAGTCACATGATACACAGGTAGCAAGTAACATTGTATTCCATTGTACTCCACTGTATGCCAGTGTATCCAATTGTATTCCTGTTTATTCCATTGTATGCCTGTGTATTCCATTGTTTGCCTGTGTATTCCAATGTATTCCTGTTTATTCCATTGTATTCCCGATTATTCCATTGTATTCCTACTTATTCCACTGCATTCCGACGTATTTTATTGTATTCCTGTTTATTCCATGGTATTCCCGTGTATTCCATTGTATTCCTGTTGATTCAATTGTATTCCTGTTTATTCCATTGTATTCCCGTGTATTCCACTGTATTCGATTGTATTCCTGTTTATTCCATTGCACATGGAACCAAGACTATTATATTTCGCAGATGTAATGCATGATTTGAGTGCAGGCAACATCCTTCCATTCACCGGACGGTATGATCATGGAGATACACTTGGCGTCTTGGTGAGGTTCAGACGGCGCCCAGGGTGGGTTCACGACCGGAGTTCCGTCAGACCACGTCGCTGTTAAGGCATCCACCATGTAGGCACCGATGTAGAACTCAGATATACCTGCAGGTAGAATTTGACGGAACTTTTATTCTTATGATATGAACGCCAATGGAGAGCACTGAGAATAGTAATCACATATTATACCCATTGGGGAATCGAAGCTAATGTTTAACCACTTTGCCTAATAGTCCAGTGTAATAAACAACAATTTAAACATCCTTATGTTATAGTTACAAGAACATACAAACATAAAAACACGTGTAAATTGAAAGTAAATATCATAATATAATCAGTATATTATTAATTTTATAACTAATAAGAAGTGTTTTATTTGTACAAAGGCCACTGGCCCATATACAATACATATATTTGAGGTGAGGTGAGGTGAAATGGGGTTTAACGTCGCGTCCAAGATTTTTGCACTTATATAGCGACGTGCATGCACGTGTATGTGTGTGTGGCTGCTTGTACTAGTCCGGACTGATGCCGATTTATAGTGCTACCATGCCGCAGTTAAACATGAATACCCCACTCAGACACAGTTTACTGACTCCGAGCCGACCAGTCCTTGTTTTAGCCCCTTAATGCCGAGCGCCAGACAGGGTAACAACAAGTACCATCTTTTAACGTCTTTTGGTATGACGCGGCTGGGGATCGATCCCCGGACCTTCTGCTCTCCGGGCGGACACTCTACCATTAGACCACGGAGGCGGTATATATATTTGAAGTAGCCTGGTACCCGTAAAAGGTACAGTTTTACAGTTTTACAGGCTCTACATAAGTACGTCTTCTTTCATAGCTGTAATATAGTACTCCTGGTAATTCGTTATAAATGGATGACAGCAGCATTAATATTTATACGTATTTGGGTTATGACAAAAAGTTGCTGGTAAGTAGAGTTGTTTAATACCATAATTAGGGCAAGCCGTAAATGTATATCAATATCAGCCTTATATCGTTTACCTTAAGGCTTAGTAACCAGCCTCTAAGCCTTATCATAACATTTCGGTGTTATATTTCAGCAGTAGGAGAAAGGTGTTTTTCAGGTTCAAGGAGACTTTAAAAATTTGTAGACAGGATACACCTAGAACAAGCCAGGAATGTGCTATTCCGCGTTTGAAAGAACATAATTTACCAAAACATGTCATGACTTCAAGACAAATAAGACACACACTACTGGTCTTATGGCTTTAAGACAAACAAGACACATACTACTGGTCTAATGACTTCAAGACAAACAGGACACACATACTACTGGTCTAATGACTTCAAGACACACACGACAAGTCTAATGACTTCAAGACAAATAAGACACACATGACAAGTCTAATGACTTCAAGACAAACAAGACACATATGACTAGTCTAATGACTTCAAGACAAACAAGACACATGTTACTTGTCTATTGACTTCAAGACAAACAAGACACATTATTGGCGTACTGGCTTCAAGACAAACAAGACACATTATTGGCGTACTGGCTTCACGACAAACAAGACACATTATTGGCGTACTGGCTTCAAGACAATCAAGACACATGTTACTTGTCTATTGACTTCAAGACAAACAAGACACATTATTGGCGTACTGGCTTCAAGACAAACAAGACACATTATTGGCGTACTGGCTTCAAGACAAACAAGACACATTATTGGCGTACTGGCTTCAAGGCAGGTCTGTAAGTGTGTTTACCCGTATTACTCAGGTACTCCGTGATGAAGGTCCGCCTGGCCGCAGTTTTCAGGTAAATCAGATGACCATTTTGGCCCGCACACAACCGTTGAGCATCCTTCCCATTTGTCACCGGGCTGCTAGCTTTGAAAGTCAAATGGAGACTTGGGACGTAGGTAAACCCGGTAGATAACACTGCAACGCACAGATGTATTTGTAGTCATACTGAAACTGTACTCAATAGGCCACGAAACATATACAAACACATTTCGCTTTATGTTTTTTAGCAAGCAGTCATGGCATCAAAATCAATCGAGCTTAAAATAGTTTCTGCTTGGGAACTCATATGCATATTTATCGGAGATTGACACCAAGTTTATCGATAACACTATCCACTATGAGAAAAACATATCTCACGTCTTACCCACGGCCGTAGCCTCGGCTGTAGTAGTAGATGCAGTTGTCGCAGACATTGTTGTTGTTTCCGTTGTAATAGTAGTCGTAGGAGTGGATGTTGTTGCTGTAGTTTCCGTTGTGACCACCTCCTGCGTGGAGGTCTCTTCTTCTGTAGTAGTTATAGTTGTTTCCGCTGCAGTTTCTGTTGTAATTTCAGATGCTGCTGTCGCAGATGACATCATTGTCTTCTTCTTGGCTACCCACGCAGACACGTAATGCACGTGCCCGGGTGCGGCTTGGGAGTCGGACGACGTGTACACCCGCATCTTGTTCAGACAGCAGACCATGCTGGGCTTGTACACGAACACGCTGTTACACAGCTTCTCGCTGGAGCATTCCTTTAGACACTCCGTCAGGGTAGTGACGTCATGGCATGACATCACATGTGACGTCACAGTGCGGTCATCTAATTCGTAATCGCGTTTCCATTCAAATTCTTCTATGCAAACAACGGTGATCCTGCAAGATATTGGATGAATCAGTGAGTGAAGGAAAATTCTACCATGAATTTGGAATTTACTCGATTCTGATTGGTCAATCAGAGGCTATTAAATCACAATAAACCCCCTCTGATTGAAACAGCTGGTTTGACGGCCGCATCACCGCGGAAGCTAATATTCATAGAATAGTACTATTTTCAGTCATTGTCGGTAGGCATATTTAAATCATTATGTCTACAATTACAGGTTACAAAATGAACAGATGCGGTTACTACAATATTCAAAGGATGTGTGGCAATACATTTCGTGCAGAAAAACACGACAGAAATCAACAAAGGGAATGTATTTACGTTTTGGAGACAACATAGAGCTTGGAATTTTGGCGCTTTTCTATATACCACTGTGACGTCATATTTTGTGTGTCACAATGAGAAATATGACGTCATAATTGTGACGTGCGATGTAGAGCGAAAGCCTTGCAAAGCTTGCTTTGTTTTCTTTAGGGATTCCCACCTCATGTTAGCTTACCAAGTTGCCGTGCTTATATGCTGTGTGGAGTGAAGTATTACGGTGTAAACAAACTGCTTGAGTATATACAGCACCATATTTTGTTCGGTGATTCCGTAATTCAGATCGATAACCCACTCAAAACTCTAAACTCAACCCATGCCGCTTCACTCAGTATATTTGCTAACACCAAAGAGTTCGCGTTTTATTTACTCATGGTAGAAATTTAACCGCGCTAAATTTAACATTTGAAACCTCACGCTGTGCGTTCGGTTCCAAATTCAATTTAGCGAGGTTAAATCTACAGGTAATCTAGCTCTACATTGAAAACACAGTAAGTTTTATCTCCTAAGTAAATGATGAATCAGCAGATTGTCTAAATAAGGTACAGCTCTGTTCCGCTCCATGACAATTTGAAGGAATATATGAATTATGTGTGGTCTCGTTGTTTCCAAAAAAGGACAACGTAAGACATATTTTGACCCACAGGATCTGCATAATTTCGAAAATACTCGATTTTGATTGGTCAATCCTAGGTATCAAATTACAATAAACCCCCTCTGGCTGAAACAGCCGATGTGACGGCCGCATTACCGTGGAAGCTAATACTTTCAGAATAGTATTTTTTTACAGTCTTTGTCTATCGGCATTTTAAATAATAATGTACAAGTATAGGCTACAAAATGCAAAGTTGCGGTTACTAAAATATTCAAAATTCGACTTTGGAACTGTATTTACACCATGGTACAGACATGTACATTTATAGGGGTAAATACGCGAGTGTGTTTGGGGATGATAAATATCCTGTATCAGGAGTAAACATTGTATTTAGCGTGCCTCTTCCTATCTCTCATAAACATCACCTAAACATTGCAAGTTTTCCTGGAATGTTTGCATTAAGATAAATTACTTCAGAAGGTAAGTGATGTGTCAGTCGGACAGTGGCAACAGTCATTATAGTCCCAAATAAACCTGTTTCGTAGACAGGGTGTGACTTCATATAGGTAAAACAACAATTGCCTACACAAATTGTTTCTACTTGCCTTTCGCGGTACCCCATCGGTCTGCCCGCTAGAGTTACTGCCCTTTATGAAAGGGAAGCTACTCTAACTAGTCTGTGAGACGTTACGTTTGTTTAGAGTCTGCCCAGGCTGTGCTGGCATAACATTACTAAGTGCAATCAGATGTACACACAGCGACAAAGGGGAACAAGGTAAAAATTAGGACATATTGCGACCAAATCCAACTGTTTTCATTTCAGAAAAGGTTCCATGCCACAGGGGTCTACAAGCACAGATATGTAAACTGATCCTGCTTGGCTAATGTCCTCGTTAGACTAAATTATTTCGCGATTTATCTATCCAAACTTGCCAAAACTTATTATATAAAATTCTTCTTGACTATTCTTTTGATAATGATAGCAATTATCCAAGTACAGTTTCTCCAGAATCCCGATAGCTTACCCGATAGTTTACTTCATGTAAAGTTTCCCAAGTGAGTGAGTTAAAGTGAGTATTACATTTTACGCCGCGCTTAGCAATATTCCAGCAATGTCACGGCGGTGAACACCAGAAATGAGCTTCACACATTGTACCCATGTTGGGAATCGAACCCGGGTCTTCGGCGTGACGAGCGAACGCTTTAATCGTTAGGCTACCCGACCGCCCTCTAAACTACTGGGATTATTTGTTATGAAAGGAAATGCAGAATATATAATAGGTTTTTAGTATTGAACTATGGAATTAAAACGAACGAAATCGTTAATAAGAATGTTTTCAGTAATTATATATTTCCTGGTTTTCTTTTGGCCCAGCTATATGCTACTACAAGGCGGGAATATATATATATATAATTTAAGATTGGGAAAAAAACCCACCAAGAATGCATTCATCATGCTCTCAGACAAAATATTTCTTTTTTTTATAGATAAATTCTATTTTTTATTAAGGATACAAATTGATATAATTAAATTTTCCTTGGGTTCATTGAAATTCCTGCATTCTGATTAGCTGAATTGGTCATGTGTTATTGCATTTATTTCCCAATGGGACACCTCACTGTGTCCTCACCTATTGTTATAGGGTACAGGTGTAGTCAGCCGTGGTTAAGTGGGTAACAATAGGGGGATTACCTATAGTCTGTTGCATGTCTATATAGAGAAAATTACTATCTGTCAGATCCATTAAATTTCATATACATTTCAACAGTACCATTCACTTTACAGAAGCATGGATTTCATAAAATTTCATATATTTCATATTGAAAGATTACGTATTGCATAAATAAATATACATTTCAAATTCACTTTAGAGCAGAAATATTCAGTTCACAATCAAACACATTCAGAGTTCACCCTCAGAAGAGGGTTCACTTTAATGACACAGACTATACCAAGCGATTAAGGGATCTTTGTCTCTTAATCCCCTATAATCCACTATAACAACATTAGAGGTGAGGGCACAGTGAGGTTAAACCTTCCCAATGAATGTAAACAATTAAGCCACGCCCACCGAAGTGGACTACTTTTATTGCTGCAGAATGTCGGGGAATCCAATATTACAGTCGAGGGAATTCACTCTCTGCTCACATGTAAACGTCATGCACAGGACATGTAGCGAAATTCATGCATATTTATGGTCCATACAACCCCTTTGGGACCGAAGGCCGAGAAGGAATGAAACAGCAAACGTGCAGGCTCGCTGAAAAGTATTTTTCCCGCTCGCCTCGGTTCCACAACTTTCATGTCTTTTTCTAACTAGCATTTTTCCAACTGTGTCTTCCCGTTTTCCGGGAACAAATGATCGAATCTGGCAGCAACTGACCATGTCATTTGAAACAGCCGCCTTCTCCCGGACATATTTGTTCCGGTTCGTTGCAGTCTGACTGCTGCGGTTCTTCCCGCCTCTTTCCTTGATTGACAGGTCAAATGAACTTTGATTTGATTCTACTCTCCGTTGATTAGCTATCGATTTTGTAGGCGTGTCAATATATGGGCATAAACTTAACAATCACCGTTAATATGTATCCTTTTTCAGCATGAGCCGGGTCTAGAGTTCTTTCCAATCCCAACGCTAACTTCACTGGGCGCAACTTGTATTTCAAGCGAATGACATTGCGGTAGCCGCTATTTTCTGCCGTTTGTAAAACCAAGGGATGTAACTACAAATGGAATGTTTGGGACGGATGACGTCACGACTCTCCGCGTTGATATAGTTCCCTTTCAATAATTAAAATTTGATTTTTAATGGATTGTTTTGTTATGATTTATGTATCTGTCAATATAAGGATTGGAGTTGCGTTTGTTGACGTTCATCAGCTGATGAAGACAGTGCCTCACGTGAGCACATTTACCATGAAGCCCTTCGCGCATCATGGAATTTGCTCACGTGAGGCACTGTCTTCATCAGCTGATGAAAGTCAACTAAATGCAACTTCAATCCTTACATGAACCGAAAACAATACACAGTCAATCCTTAAAAATTATTACTAAAATACGTATGAACATAACATGCCGGTGATCGCAGTATTTGACAATTTAGATAATGCAGTGTAAAACAAATATAATTATGAAAACTATTTAAAAAAATAAAAACGAAATCCCATTTACAATGAAAAAAATTGCCATTCACAAATCGATTGTCTATATAAGTATTGTGTGTAACAACCATTCCTCTTGAAATTCGATATTCTAATGTGTGGCCTTGGCAGCTCTTTCACTTTAAACAATTCCATTCCCTTACTCAACTATATGTACATTATTGTGTTGGAGTATCACGCCTATCTATACTCAACAACAAAAGTTCCTGTGACACCAATATTTTAATGTATTTTTCAAACAAGTAAAGTTTGGTTTTCAATATTGTAGTACATGTATGGAATCAAGTCACAAAAACGCAACTGCTACAGAAAAGCATGCATTCCGTGCAATAGTTGACTTTTATGCAAGCCCAATGCATTTCACTACCCAAGAATGGGTTTAAAGGGATTCCATATGCATTGTTTAGCATCGTGCTGACAACAACCACTCAGAAAAACAACAAAATTACGCAATTATTCAACATTACGAAATGCCACGCCTGTCCGAAAATGAGCGTCTGCGAGCCATTGGCATTCTTGAAGCAGGATCGAGTCAGACAATTTAACGTCCACAGAAACACCATTTGGTGTTTATGGCAACGTTGGCAACAGACGAATGCAGTCAGAAACCATCTTCGGAGTGGCAGGCCACGCGTAACCAATAATCGACAAGACAACTGGATTCAAACAACACACCTACGAAATCGATTCCAGCCAGCAACAGTGACTGCAAGAAGCATCCCTGGCCTTCGACGAATATATTCACAAACCGTACGTTGTCGCCTCAGATGTGCAGAGATTGTCGCCAGAAGACCCACCAGACGTCACATTTTGACAGGAAACCACCGTCAAGCACGTCTACAGTGGTGCAGACAGCGTCTACGCTGGACGGCCATGCAGTGGGGACAAGTTCTATTCACTGACGAGT